CAGTTCCCAGCAGGGGACTCACGAGAGGCAACCACACATTGATGTTTCTCTCCCACTCTTTCTCCTTCCCTTCCCCTCTCTCTAAAAATAAATAAATAAAATATTTAAAAAAAAATATTAGAACCACAGTTCTCAAACTGGGTACGAGCAGTTCGCTGAAAAGGCAGTAAACAGCTTCCAATTCCGTGTGTGTCCACAAGGGGAGAGTGACAGTCACAAAGGTGTCGGCATTTGGTGACAACCCCTCACAGCTGAAGTAGAGCAGGCTCTCTACGTAAACCAAGCACAGTTTTAGTGAAACAGTTCTGTGCTTTCTTTGGAAACTTTTTCAACTATCAGAGCATTTTAGGGTTTTTTCCCAATTATAAATAAATAGGTTTACTATAAACATTTTGGGGGAAATTTTTGTTAATGTTAATCCCATTCCCTCAAAGGTAGCCATTCTGTTGTTGATTTGGAACGAGGGGTGGTGTGTTGTGTGTATGCTTTTTCCTGGAGTGGTATTACAATATGATCAGACATTTCCTCTCTAAATACAACTCTACATAACTCTTCAAATACTTTCCTCTTCACATGCAGCTCTTATTTTAGCAGTTTTCCAGTGTATTTTGTATTATCATAAATAGTTTGCCTTCTCCTTATGTTTGGTGCTAGAATCTGAAGCATGTGCTTCCTTCCCCACCTGTTGGTCCAGTGAAATTCGTGAGGTGAATGTTCCTCTCCTGTTGACTTTCGCCTTGTGAAGCCTCCTGCCCTGGGGCACAGTCACACTGCATTTCCTTAGAGCCTGGACAAGCCAAACACAGGCAGCAAAGCTTGCATAATACCCTCAGGAATTTCACTCCATTATCTATACTAGAATGGTCTTTTTTAAAAAGACATTTTTAAAGATTGTATTTATTTATTTTATACTGAGGGGAAGGGAGGGAGAGAAACATCAGTGTGTGGTTGTCTCTCACACGCCCCCACCAGGGACTTGGCCTGCAACCCAGGCACATGCCCTAACTGGGAATTGAACCAGTCACCCTTTGGTTCGCAGGCTGGCACTCAGTCCACTGACCCACACCAGCCAGGGCTTCATTTCTTTTTTAAAAGTATTCATTGTGAGCTCTTCTCCACATAGCAAGCAGCTAGCATGGGCCTTTAGGCTGGAACTTGGGGCATGTTGCTCCTCTGTCACGTGCCCTGCCTTCCGGGCGCCTCTCTGACCCCATCTGCCCCCGCCACCCCGGCTCTGTGCTGGTCCTTTCGCCCGGGCCTGGTGCCTCGCACTCTCCCATGCTGCCCAGCTTTCTTCTTCGGGCCCTGTGCCACCTGATACACTCCCTGCCACGTGGAAACTGCCTTGTCTCCTGCAAGGTGTCGATGTTCATTTGTGAATTTGCTATTTCCCAGAGCTTTCGTCATGAGAATATAAGCACAAACGAGGGCAGAAACCTTTTGTTCTTTGCTGTATCCTCAGTGCCTAGAACAGTGTCTGGAATACAGTAGATGGCTAATAATTTTTCTGATATTTTTATATTGAGAGATCAGAACAAAGTAAGATTTGTAGCTATTATACCATTTAAGGAGTGGTCAGTACTCCTTGAAATTTTTTTCTGCCAATTTTGGGATAAATTCAAGGTAATTTTTATTTCTAAATTATAGTCAGTAGCCAGTTAGCCTAGTACTGTCAACCAAGCCAAGACTGGTGAGCCAGCTACATTCAAAGCCAGAGAGACACACCCTTGCTTACTTTGGGAGGGGGACCTCTGGGGGGGCCAGGAAGCCTTCAGACTTTGCTAGCTGCCCATGTCTTCAGCCGCTGTCTCCACAGTTCACACTGTGTGGGCTGCGTTAGCTTTTGTAATCCCGTCTCCACCTTTAACGTGTGAGTGTTCTTCCCAGTTGCAATCCTATAGGAAATGTCTTGCCAACAGCAACAGATTCCACACTCATGGGGTAGAATAAATAACCTGAAATTACTAGAGTGCTTATTGTATATACTCATACTGAGCTAGAAAACTATAAATAGCCCCCACATTTCTGATAGCTTTACTAGAAGTGCTTTCAAAAGTGTTCATTTGTGAGCCTAAGTCAAGTCTTTGGCCTCGATGAGCTGTTGTCATATGGACGAGTGGAGAGGATTGAAACCTCCGTGAGAATGAATCCCGACACGTACAGTATGTTCATACTGGAGACTCAGCCGTGTTCTGTGACTGGCACAGCACTCACCACAGCACGGGGTGGTGTCAGTATTGGTGAGGCCCAAGGTTCCTTCCAAGTGCAAGTGCACTCCAGTTTGGATCAGAAACACTCATTTGGTTGAGTTGTGTGTAAGCTGGAGCGAGCTCAGCCTGTGCGCCATGAACTGGGCTGGTGTGCTCCTGGTGATTTATTGGTGCACTTTTCCTAGTTCTCACGGTGGGAGGGGGGGAATACAGCTTGGTAGGTAGTTTCCTCCAATTGAAATTTTTTGTTCCATGGATTTTAATTAGTATTCTTACATCTTTACCGGACAATATGTTTATTGATTTTAAAGGTGGGGGGGAGGAACATCTATGAGAGAGAAACATCGATCGATTGCCTCCTGTATGTGCCCAACCAGGGATCGAACCACAATATTTTGGTGTGTGGAACAACACTCTGGTCATCTGAGCCATCCAGTCGGGGCTCTTCAGTAATTTTTCTGAAAATTTTGGCATCTGTCCTTTGCCCTAACAGCTGGTGAAGTGAATGAATAAGTAATTTAGAACAGTAGTTCTCACGCTGGTGCTTGCATCAGAATCACCTGGGAGGCTTATGAAACCAGATTGCTGGGCCTGTCTTCAGGTTTCTGCTTTTTGTCTCTGAGTGGGAATCTGGGTTGAGACTTAAGGATTCTTTCAGGAGAGAAGACTATTTTTTGTGTCTCTTAACTCTTCCTAAAGCCACCTTGCTCTTTTCCATTCCGTGTATTATCACCGAAGAAGATGAGGACTCCTAAGAGTCCTAAAAATACATTCTTTAGTCATTGTAAGTTGCGCGTGTTCCACGTGGGCATCCTTGAGATGGACTTGCTGAAAGCCCAGAAGCCCTGCACCTCTCCTTGTTCTTTCTGTGTGGAGATGCAGAACCAGGGAGTGAGGCAGAGAGTGTGGAGGGCGGGAGGCTGGGACTTGGTTCTGTGTCTGAGCCTGCACAGGAGCTCCTCTCACTGCCTTCAAGAGCACTGACATCTTGAGGAGAGGATTTGAAGAGGTCAGGTTATAACTTTAATGTGCAGTTTAACAAAACAACAGAAGTACAGTTTCAGTTAGGTGGTTTAGACTACAACCTTATTTATTTATTTATTCTTTCATCAGCCAAGTGGCTCTGATCTACTTTGTACTGTACCAGATACTAGGGTTAGAAAAAGGAAAAAAAAAATCTTGACCTCAGGACCTGTCATCTATTAAAGAGGCAGGCCGACCATTACTGCGCAGTGACAGGAGGGCCGTCAGGTCCGTTTCAGAGTGGGGGTGTATCCCTGGGTTTGGCAGTGAGGGTCCGAGAAGACTTCCAGGGACACAAGGGGATTTGTGTGCTGGCACAGGATGGGGGAGGAGCATCACGTGGCATGGCCGTTTCCCCTTGAGCTCTCTGCTTTTATGCTTCAAAAGTGTACTGCTCAGAAGCTCTGTGCCTTTTCTCCTAATTATAAATATAGGATATTTGGTCATCAATAGGAAATCTTATATTTAATTTGAGGTGTAATAATTTAAAAATCTTTAACCTATAACTGACTTAATCAGTAGCTTTACTCACCTGTTCCTATAGTTTAAGGAGCAGTATTTTTCTGAATTTAGTGGAGCCTATAAGAAGTAGCAAAAGATAGGCCCAGGAAAAGTTGAATGCTAATTGAATTTAAATAGTAAGGGAACCAAGAGAAAAGTACATGATGAAGAATAATTGCACAAGTATCCTTAGTATTGATCAGATATATATTTTTCTTAAGCATGTCACTCACACATTTTATCCCACTGTGAATTAACACAAAATTTCAAGTCACATGAAAGCATTCTGTAGTCAAGTAAAAATTAATGTTTCATATTTGTGTTGGTTATCATTACAGAGGTGTCCAGTTAGACATTTTTCTTGGAGTACTTCAGAATAATTTACCATTTGTACTTTTCTGTGTGTTTGTATAAAGTAAGGGATATCTGACTTTGTCACATGTCCTGAGAGACCCGTGGGCATGAATGCTGGGTCCTCACGATTGTGCTGTCGGCTGGTTATGTGGCCTCGGTTATGTTACCTCTCTGGCCTCAGTTCCACCTGCAAGTGGAAGGACTTGTACTAGGGTCCTACAGGTCCTTTAGCTCCAAAGGTTTGTTTTCCTAGAGCCTTTTTAGTTTGACTTACACTAAAAACATAATTTTATAATTAACTGATGTCATGGACATTTTTTTTCTTAATCTGTTACCAACAAACATAAAGACTTCCAAAGGTCTTTGTAAAGTACAGGCATCCCTCACTGTCCAAATCATTCAGTTCCCAAATTCAGCTCATTAAAAGTCATATGGTGAAAGATACCTCTGTATTAGCAAATGTGGTCTCTCAGTTTGTGTTACCATTGTAAAGGAGCACTAAGGAAGATCTGTTATGATGGGCAGTACTTTGATATTGATAAGACACTAAATACCTTGAATGTTGACTTTACTGACACAAAGATGTGACAAACCTTTGTGGACAAGAGATAACATCATCAGGAGCAAAGGTGATCCTTACTGATAACCGAAGGATAAGTGTTTATAGAGCACTTGCTTTTCACCAGTTGCTATTCAAAGCACTAGCAGTGAGAAAGTCAGGGCCTAGGGGCATTGCAGACCCCTCAGCACGATTGGGACGGCTGGGGAGCAGAGATAATCTCTAAAGAGTGGAAACATTAATTACTAAGTTACTTTTAATACTCTGTATCGTTCTCAAGGGTCTGTGTAGCATGGTCCTTTATGTATTGACCTCCCCGTTTTGTTTTGTCTTTCATATTTTGTTTCTGTTAGGAGAGAACATTGAAATTATTCTCTAAGCTATTTGAAGAGAGTGACTAAATGCACCTGGGTCAGGCTGTCTGTGGGTATGAAGTGGTTGGGAGAATCCAAGAACATGGTGGTGAATGGCAGGAGGAGTGGAGGCAAGTTGTCTAATGACCACCCGCAGAACCAACCCAAAGCGCAGCACACGGGGAAGGACGCCGTGAAGGCCGGCAGAGGCGCAGTGGACAGGAGGTCGAGCAGATGTACGTACACCCTCAGCCGTCGCCCTGCTGACCGCGACACGGGGCAGGGGTCTGTCCTCTGTCGTTTCCAAAACAATTATTTGTGTTCTCACAGTGAGCAGTATAACTTTTTACTCTTTCAGAGTTATATAAATTTTTATTCTCACCAAACATTATGTACAACTTCAGTTTAATGCTTAATATAATCAGTCATGCTTTCTATGTCCATGGTTTCTACAAAATTATATTCTGTAGAATTTATACTTAAATGGTTAATCTCTTCTGTAAAAAATATTACAGTAACTGCAACTGAACTGAATTTCTTTAAAGTTCATACTGTATTTTTTATATTTGATGTAAGTATAAGTACGTATGTCTTTAAAAACTTAAAATAATATGAATAATAAGATCAACTCTAAATTGTGTGTTAAGTGGAATTTAGGCCAGCTTCACAGATTGTTACTACTTCTATTTATGGAGGGTGGGGCACTGTTGATATTAAGTTACTTTATCTCTGCAGCTTGGTAAGAACAAAACTACTTGAGATTTCTGAGAAATTATAGAGTTGATACTCGTTTCATAGTTCTTGAAATAGTAATAAGTTGCCATAGGATGAATTTAAACTTAAGTAGACGGCCATATGAAGATTGTCCAAAAGTATGTTAAGGAGTACAACTTTTTCTATTGATATTTCTTGATTTTACTAAGGTTAACTTGCCACTGCTGAATAAATAGCCTTAGTTTGCGTCGTAGACCGGGTTAGCCTGAGGTGTGCTGTGGTTCCAGGTAGATCGCCCCAGTCCGATTCATTCTGTTCTTACCTTTTAGAGGTTCATGCAGTTCACTAGGCTCACACTGCCTTTACCTTTCCATATCAGGTCAGGTCATGTCACTGTTGCTGTAAAGAAATAGGCAGAAATTCCTACTTCAGATAAGAGTGGAGGGCGGGTGCAAGGCTGAATGTATTCTCTTCTGCGTGGGTGCCTCCTCCCCTCTTAGCCTGTGACGCGAGCCTGACGGAGCTGAGAAATGCAGTGACTGGAGCAGTGAGTTAGGTGTCACTTAGACTTTTTTTAAAGCAACTTGTTATTGGCCTCCTTTTGTACATCACAGTGCAAAGAGGCCCTCATTAGTTTAATTGTTGAAGGTACATAAGAATCTATATGAGCTACTATAATGACCACTATATGAGCTGAAATGTAGACAGATGTAGAGGGATAGGTTGGAAAAACCCAGAGAGTGTGAAGATGGACAGCATCACATTGAATGTTATTGGTGCAAAAACAGCCAGTGACGAAGAGAAGCACAGCGCTGTTCCATCTAAATAAACTGCAGTGACTTCACCTGACATCAGAGCCAAACAATACATGAAGCAAAAACTGACCAAATTGAGGGGAGAAGTAGAGAGTTCAACAACAGTTTGAAGACTTTAATAACTTGCTTTCAACGATGTCTTAGAACAAGGAAAGAAGACAGACCGGCTCTCACTGACAGGCACTTTAGAGCACTGCCCCACAACAGCGGTCTCTACGTTCTTTCCAAGTGCACACAAGCATTTTCAGGGCAGACCGTAAAGGGCAGGGCAGGCCGTAAAGCAAGACTCGGTAAATTTACAAGGATTGAGGTCATACATTATGTGTTCTCTGATGAAAATCATGTAAAATTAGAAATGAATAATAGAAATTTGGCAAGTTCACAAATATGTGGGAATTAACACACTCCTAAGTAACCAGTGGGTTAAAGAAGAAATCAAAAGGGAAGGAAGAAAATACTTGTACATGATTGGAAATAGGATACCACATATTAAAATTAATGGGGTGTAGCCGAAGCATTGCCTAGGGGGAAATTTATAGCTGTGAACAACTATATTTAAAAAAAGAAGAAAGATCTCAATCAATAACTAACTTTTTAGCTAAAACAAGAGAAAAAGAAAAGCAGAAGGAAGTAATGAAGTGAAATTAACAAAATAAGGAATAGAGAGATGGTAGAGGTAATCAACAAAGCTAAAAAGCTGATTCTTTGAAAAGGTCAACAAAATTGGCAAATCTTTAAGCAAGTCTGACCAAGAAAAAGAGAAGAATCAAGAATGAAAGAGGAATGTTATTGTCTCAAAAAATAAAAAGAATTATAACTATAGTGAGTAACTGTATACCATATAATTAGATAACTTAGTTTAATTTTTAAAATTCCGAGAAAGTAACAAAACTACCAAAACTGAATCCAGAAGAAATACAAAATAACACTACAAGAAAATCTCAGGCCCAGATGGCTTCATTGGTGAATACTGGCAGGTGTTTAAAGGAGAATTAGTACCAGTTCTTCATACATAGTTCCCAGGAAATGGAAGGGAGCACTTGCTGATTCATTCAGTGAGGCCGGCATTACCCTGCCATCGAAATCCTCAGCAAATACCATAAACCCTGTCACCCAACAGACGAAAATGATTCTGCAGCATGACAAAGTGGGATTTACCCCAGGAAGGCAGGGTTGATTTAATGCCTTCAATACACTATAATTAATTAATACACTATATCAAGAGAATGAAGGACTAAACCCATACAGTGATCCCAATAAATGCAGAAAAAGCATTTGACAAGTCTTAATACCCTTTCAAGAAAAAAACCAAACATTTAGTGAACAAGGAATAGAAGGAAAGATAAAGGACATCTATGAAAAACCTGTCACAGCTGATGTCACATTTAATGGTGACTACTAAATGGTTCTCCCCAAGATCAGGAACAAGACACAAAATCCATTCTCACCATTTCTATCCAGCGTTGTACTTACAGGCTGTAACCACAGCAGCTGGGCAAGAAAATGAGCTAAAAAGCATATCACAAAGGAAAAGGTCAAACAGTCTCTATTTGCAGATGACATGATTGTGTATATAGAAAATCCTAAGGAATCTACTAACAAACTATTAGAACTAATCAAGTTCAGCAAGGTTGCAGGATACAAAAATCAGTTGCAAGTCTGTATACTTTCAATGAACAATTCAGTCGAAACAGTTTTATTTACAGTGGTGTAAAATATAGCAACAAGATTAACAATGAAAGTGTAATACTTATACTCTGAAAACTACAAAACATTGTTGAACAAAATTTAAAAAGACCTAAATAAATAAACATCACATATTCATGGATTAGAAGACTTACTGTTGTTAAAATGGCAGTACTCCCCAAATGATCTGCAGATTGAATGCATTTCTTATCAAAATCTCAACTGGCTTCTTTGCAGAAATTGCTGAGCTCATCTGAGAATTCTTATGTAAATTTAAGGAACCCAGATTAAAACAATCTTGGAGAAAAAAGGACTCTCGGTCATTAGAAAAATGCAAATTAAAACCATAAGATACCACTTACAACCACTAGGATATATATAAAATTAAGAGGACAGACAGTAACAAGAATTGGTGATGATGTGGAGAAGTCAGGACCCTCATACACTGTGGTTGGAAATGTAAAACGGTGCGTCCACTTTCCATGTGAAGAATAGTCTGGCAGTTCCTCAAAAGGATAAGCGTAGAGTTTCCATATGACCTAGCAGTTCCCCTCCTAAGAGAGTTGAAAGCATATGTACACACAAAAACTTGTACATAAATGTTCGTAGAAACATTATTCATAAAAGCAGAAAAGTGGAAACAGGCCACATGTCCATCAGCTAATGAATAAGCAGATGTGATATATGCATGCAGTGGAATATTATTTGACAATACTAGGAATGAAATTGGTTGAGCCTTGGAAACACTGTACTAATTGATAGAAGCCAGTTGCAAAGACCACATATGGTGTGCTTTCTGTCTATAAGCAATTTTCAAACTAGGCAAATCTGTAGAAACAGACCCTGGATTAGTGGTTGCCAGGGGCTGGGAGGAAGAAACAGGTAGTGACTGCTAATGGGTGTGGGGTTTCTTTGGGGAGTGATGAAATGTTCCAGAATTGATTGTGGTGATGGTACAGTTATGTGAATGTGCTTTAAAAAACCTTTGAATTGCACACTTGAAATGGGCGAATTGTATGGTATGTGAATTACAGTTCAGTGAAGCTGTTACAGAAAATACAGTGATTTGATAGCTTTTCACATGCCTATATGTCCGGTACAAGTGTTCAATTTTTTTTGAAAGAGTAAATGAAAAGAAGATTATACCTCTTACTGTGTCTCTTGTTCTTTCACGTATTATTTGGGTTGACCAAAAGGTCCATTTAATTTTATCTGTAAAATAAAAGACTCTTTATTTTTACAAATAACTTTATCGATTTGGATATTTTTAGTATGTCGCTATCTCCCACATGGGAACCTTGATAGTTCTCAATTAATGTTTCTATTTGATCACTATCAACTTCAACTGGTCTGCCTGCCCGTGGAGCGTCATCAAGCGAGAAATCTCCAGCATGAAACTTCACAAACTATTCTTGACATGTTTGGTCAGTCCCAGCACCTTCTCCATATACTGCACAAATCTTTTTTTGCATTTCAGTTGTTTTTTACCTTTCTTGAAATAATAAAGCATAATATGCTGAAAATGTTGCATCTTTTCTTCCATCTTCAATATTAAAATGGCTATACAAAAATTCACCAATTTTGATGTTCTTTTCTCTTTTTTTTTAATTTTATTTATTTATTTTTTGGAGAGAGGGAGAGAAACATCAATGTGTGGTTGCCTCTCGCCTGCCCCATACTGGGGACCCAGCCCGCAACCCAGGCATGTGCCCTGACCGGTAATTGAACCAGGGACACCTTGGTTCACAGGCCAGTACTCAGTCCACTGAGCCACACCACCAGGGCAAGGTGTTCTTTTTTAAATGCACGCTGATATGACAGGTGTCACAATACAGTCCAACAAAATTGTTTCACATGAAGTTAAAGACAACTAAACGCTACTACAGCCATCTTATGGAAGAAAACCAAACAAACTTTTTGGCCTGTTTATCGAGGCTTAAAGTTATACTGCTGGTGTCACTAACTGCTGCTGAGACTGTCAGTGACAAAGACACTAGACGCTGATGAAACTTGATGCATGCAGATTTGGCTTTCTTCTCCTCTCTCTACATTGTTTTTCTTCCACAATTAAACCCAAGTACTTCAGTCACCTTTCCTGTTTTTATCCAATCACTCAGAATTTTTTAAAGAGAGGTCAGAAATAGGCCTGTCATTCTTTCTTTTCTTCTTTCCCTACCTCCACTACCTAAGTTTGTGATGATGGGCAAGTTTCTTAACCTCTGGGCCTATTAACCAGCAAAATGGAGATGGTAATCACTCATCAGACTGAAAGCTGGAAGGTGGAGTCGGCGCCTCCCGACTGCTTTTGGTCCTTAAGTTCTTACCCTCCTGGCACTAGCTACAGAGAGTATCTTATGCTCGTCCTTTTTCCTCCTTGACCCAGCCCTGTCTGTAACGACCTGTGGTGCTCTCTTGCTTCCTTAATGAACATCTGCCTTCCCCATTTCTCACCTTCTCCTGGGAGGGGCAAGGCATCCGAGCCAGAGTCTCACCCTCTTCTTGGGAAACCTGGTACTGTCTGCTAACGAGAACACTCTCAGTGATGGGCTAGTTTACTGCGTTTGGTTTTTGGTTTTATGCTTATTCAACTAGTACTCCACTCTCTGCTATTAAAGTTGATTGAGATAGATAATTTCAGTTCTTGATTGTTAGCTTGAACAGGCAAAGGTGATTTTAAGGTAGATTTTAGTAGTTTTCAGTTTGAGTTACTTTTTCTTTCTCTTTTCACAGGTAATGGTAATTCAGGATTCGAGGGACAGAGTCGATATGTACCATCTTCTGGAATGTCCGCCAAGGAACTTTGTGAAAATGATGACCTAGCGACCAGTTTGGTTCTCGATCCCTATTTAGGTTTTCAGACACACAAAATGAATACTAGGTAATTTAAGTCTTTGTCCTGAATGAAACAGATGACGTTAAATTTGAGGAAAGAGATGGCTAATTTTACTTTCAGTCAAAATTTTAAAGTAACATGAAAGGAATCTTTCTTTCCTACAGAAAGATTTTTCTATATGTGAGCTATGAAAAGCAATGAAAGCTTGTGAAAGTCTTGTCAATTTTAACTCTGTGTTCTTATTTTATCTCAGGATATTTCTGTTAAAATATAAGGCTAGGGGACCATCTCTATATTCTATTTTAAATGTTGATGATAATTAGCCAAAAGAAAAATCTTAACAGGCATCCTATAGAACCTTAAAAATGTATGTGGGTTTTTCCCCTACTAAAAGTAGGTTACATCAGGTTTTTTTTCATGGCTTTATGAAAAATTTGAATAATTGCCTTCGTACATAGGTAATTCTGCCATCTGTTTTAATGAGATGCAGCTAAGGATTCAGCTAGGTGAGCTTCAGCTAAGTAAGAGTGAATGATTTTAAAGATGTGCTCACCTTTGGTGTGCAGATAAGAAAAGCGCTGTACAAGTGTTTTATTGAATGTCCGATGTCATCTACATAAACTGTTACTACATTGCTCTGGAAATATGTCATCCTTTGAATTTTTCTATTTTAATTCCCTTAAAATTTCTCTCCCAAATTCCATGGTAAAGTGTTTTCCAGTCTGGTGGGAAAAGCACCGGGATTTAGAATGTAGAGCAAGTTCTGGGCCAGTGTCCACTCTTACCTCTGCCATCCTGACTCTGGTGTCCAGTAGCTCCGGTGCCAGTGACCAGCCCTGGAGGACTTGGTCACCAGGGGGCCGTCATTGGTAATTAGTTGAGTAATTTTATTCAGCAGGAATTGGTGAGTAAAAGTGATTAGGGGAAAATCTTGTGTTCATCATTTTCCCTTTTAATTCTGTCCCTTGCTGGAATTGAAACAAGATATTGTGTTAGCATTTATAAGTTACATTCTAAATCCAGAAAGAAATCTGGGTAAAAATGTGCCTTTGGTATTTATATGTCATTTCTTGTCACCCTGTGTCTTTCTTTACTCACTGAAATGAAGGGAAGAGCGGGAATAGGCTTGAGAGGTCCTTTAAATAGCTCCCTTTCTTCAGAGGGGCGAACACCTACGTTTTCTAATTAGGCAGGCAGATGGCTGTTCTCTGAGAATCAGCAGAATTGGATGCCCTTGTGTACAAGTAAAGTCTGGTTTGCACTATTTTAAGTCCACCTCCCTTTTTCGCCCAGGGAACGTGAGAGGCCAGTGCTCATTCTCTGCCAGGACCCTGGTAGCATTGAAGGCGTCCTTGGTCCTTTTTCTCCTGAGTTCAGAAATGTGAACCACTGATTCACAAACATTCTAGTGGCATTCAAGATATTACCACAGAGGCCCCTGATTATGACCTGGAGTCGTCAAGAAAGAGTTAGATCGTGTTCACTGAGCTTTACGTATACCGAATTACGGATACACATAAACCATTTTAGAAGGTATTCCATCCAAATCACCAAGCGTTTTTAGGGGCTGAGGAAAGAAACCCGTGTTCAGTGTCTGCATGCTTTGTTCCGGAGGATGGAGGGTTGTTGCCTGTTACCGTCTTCTTCTGCTGTGGGAAATAACTCCTGTTTTCTGTAAGAATCCTCTTAGACAACTGCTTCTCATAGTTTCTAGGAGTCACTTGGGGAATCTTGTTAGGGTGTAGACTCTGAGCTCTGGGCAAGGCCTGGGAGCCCCTGTTTCTGACAGGTTCTGGGCTGGGCTCTCAGGAGCGGGTGCCGTGCCCCAGGCTGCTGCGCTTCCTCCTGGCAGGAGAAGTGGGTTAGCAGCGCTTTACCAGTTGTTTTGGGGGGTCACTTAAAAACGTGTCCTTCAATTATAAAGTTTAGGGTTGTCACACCAATGTTAAAACTCAGGATGTTACAATATCTAGGTACTCTCAATTAAAATGTATTCAGTATATAAATTTTTTAAGATTTAATTTAATTTTTTAAAATATTTTATTTATTCATTTTTAGAGAGAGGGGAAGGGAAGGAGAAAGAGTGGGAGAGAAACATCAGTGTGTGGTTGCTTCTCATGAGTCCCCTACTAGGGACCTGGCCTGCAACCCAGGCATATGCCCTGACCAGGAACCAAACTGGCAACCTTTTGCTTCACAGGTCCATGCTCAATCCACCAAGCTACACCAGCCAGGGCTAAATTTTTTATGAATAGAAATTGAAGGATCTAAAATGCAAACTAGTTCATCCTGGTTAAACATGCGGTGGACACACTTGAAAATAAAACTGTATTCATTCTAGTTCATCTTTTGAGCAAGAATATACCAGAATGTTGGCTTATATCTTGTTCAAAGATATTTCATGGAAAATGTATAGTGCTTTATTTGAATAAACCATAAATATCCCTGAAATTGTTAGTTTTGTAGACCTCTCTGTCTTTGGGATGCAAATGAAGTGACTGGAAAATAGGATTAGAGCTTGGATTTTAATGCTTCCAGCTATTACTTGTATAATGGTCTCTTTGTTCTCATGTTTATACATCTGTAATTTGACTGTCAGTTTCTAGTTTCTTTTTTATACCTTTTTTCCTCCTTTCAACTCCTTTCAGTGCGATGTGTTCAGAAACAGTAAAGGTTTAATAATTTGAGAATTTCCCAAACTAGCTATATTATGAATACTCATGTTTTAATCTTAAAATATCCCTAATTTACTAACAAGTAAGTCAGAGTTATAGCATGAATACCTAGAAATAGTGTAAACAAAACAGTAATTTCAGTCTATTGGGAAATATTTAGACATAGTTGATTTGTCAGTTATGAAACTTAAATTTTTCCTTTTAGCTGGAGAATAGAGTTGTTAGTAATACCTCTGACTTTTGAAAAATCAGAGTAGGGTGGTGGATGTTGTAGAGCCAGGGCAGGTGCCCCTTTTCAGGCTCCAGAACCCCCAAATTTGACAGTATCATGAGCAGCGGGGAGTTTCGGACGAGCAGAGCAGGAATAACGTTTCAAAGAAGTGAGGGGTCATCTCAGGGCACTTTTTCTTTGGAACTTCTCTTGATTTTTCCGATCCAAACGTCATTCTGTATAGTCCTCACTCATCCTTCCACTACTGTAGCCGTCTCATTTCATCACACTTATTTATGTATTTGATTATTCACATCCACTGTTGGATATGAATTTATAAACCACTGTAAATACCACTTTGAAACCAAGTGCTTGACCAGAAAGCCTGAAGAAGCTCTTAGACCCGCTAATTCTCTGTAACGGGCAGAATGGCAGCACGGGGGAGGGGAGAGCGTCTTGGCTCTCATCACCCTGAGACTACCCCTGGCTTCACAGAGTTCTCGGACGTCAGTGTTCTCAGGACTTCTGCAGCTAATATTGTAAGTCTGTTTAGAGATTGCAAGTACAGATCGTACAAATAGTTTTTCATTGTTGTTGTTTGTTTTTGCATTTATATAGCGCCTTTCCTTCGAGGAGCTCAAGGCATTTTTCAAAATCTGACAGTTTCCCTCACAACAACCCTGTGAGGTAGGTAGAGTGCATTACGAATGGTAATGAGGTGCCGCCGCCCTATCGCAGCCTTTACAATGTTCTTTGACGTTAAGTATTGAAGGTGTCAGCATAAACATGAGTTTTAGAACATTTTGCAAGCCTTTTAAAATAGTGTGGTCTTAGTCATAGCTGTATTTGAAAAACCACTTGTACTCCATAACAGGGTAATTTTAAGAGAAATCTTTCACGAGAAGATCAGGAGTCAGTCCCTGGGACCAGCTGAGCGCTGAGTGCAGGCCTTAGCCAGGTGTGTTCTGGTCGGTGTCTGTCTTCGGGTGAAGGCGGCACGGAGAGCCGCGGCTGCAGCACCTTTCTTCAAAGGGGGAAATGCTTCACAGTGTTGCCTCGCGGTTTTCTTATTTTATGTCTTAAAATAGTGGAGCCTTTTTCTCTTCCTGTCCCCTTCCCTTGCTCCCTGTTTTCTGCCCCTCCCTTCTCGTCCTCCCTTCCTCCAGTCAGTTCTTGGTTGTACATGCTAATGGGAGGAACAGTAGTGCAGCTAAGTCAAATCTATAACCTTCCTTCCTTGCCACCGTGGTCTCTTGGGTTGGGAAACAGAAAAACCAAATAGCAAGGAAACCTCTGGAAAGAGTGGGGAACAGGTGCGTGGGGTGTGAGTTCGTAATTTTTTTCTGTGCCTTTCAATAGTAAATGATTGTAAACAGCATTTTTTAAACTTCCTTTTAATTTTTTAAAAAGATTTTATTTATTTAATTTTAGACAGAGGGGGACAGAGGGAGAGAAACATCAATGTGTGGTTGCCTCTTGCGCTCTCCACACCAGGGAACCTGGCCTGCAACCCAGGTGTGTGCCCTGACTGGGTATCGAACCAGCAACCCTCTGCTTCTCAGTCCGGCACTCGATCCACTGAGCCACACCAGCCAGGGCTTCCTTTTAATTTTTAAAGGGTTTTTTGCTTATTTATTTTTAGCAGAGGGGAAGGGAAGGACAAAGGGAGAGAAAGAACAGCGTGTGGTTTCGTCTCGCACGTCTCCTACTGGGGACCTGGCCTGCAACCCAGGCATGTGCCCTGACTGGGAATCGAACCTGTGACCCTTTGGTGTGCAGGCCAGTGCTCAATCCACTGAGCCACACCAGCCAGGGTTTTTTTTTTTTTCTTTCTGATTAAAAAAAAATTTAATGTTGTTCAAGTACAGTTGTCTCCATTTTCCCCCCAACCACTCCCCATTGATTAGAGTTGTGGGAAGAGAAAAAGAAATATTTATTTATTTTTAAAGATTTTATTATTTATTTTTAGAGAGGGGAGGGAGAAAGAGGGAGAGAAACATCAACGTGTGGTTGCATCTTGAGTACCCCCTACTGGGGACCTGGCCTGAAACCCAGGCATGTGCCCTGACTGGGAATTGAAATGGACCTGACATGGACCCTTTGGTTCACAGTCTGTGCTCAATCCGCTGAGCCACACCAGGCAGGGCAAGAAATATTTATTGAAAGTAGCAAATTTTTGTGTTAAAGAGGGAGGAGGGACATACTTACTTGGAAATACCAGATGCCTGTTTTTCTTGCCTCTCTGACACTCCAACTCACCCCAGAAGGCCACATTTAAAAGTGTGTTTTACCTTTCACTGTATCGTCAGAATCCCACCAACTGGGTATTCTCTGGCTGGGCTGCGGGCTGGTGCTCCGAGGCAAGCGCAAGTCAAATCCTGTTCTAAGGTGGAATGCCACCAGAGGGCCCTCCGAGTCCACGCAAGAGCAGGCTCGTGAAAGTCTTCCCTTCACGAGCCTTCTTTTCTTCATTTATGGAACAGGAGGGCTGTGTTTGATAGTCCCAATTTCCTTCTAGCTTTAAGAAGCATGGTGTAAGGATGGCTTTGTGCAGTTTGTTTGGGAGAGTGATTGGGATTAAGGAGAGGGCAGAGGGTGTCTTTCTACTCAATCATAGAATATTATTTTATGTCCTGGCTTGTGTCGCTCAGTGGGTTGATTGCTGGCCTGAGAAATAAAATGGCCAGGGCACAGGCCTGGGTTGCGGGCCAGGTCCCCAGTTTTGGGGTGTGCACGAGGCAGCCGATCAGTGTCTCTCTCCCACATCGATGTTTCTCTCCTTGTTTCTCCATCCCTTTCCCATGTAAAAATAAATAAAATCACTTAAAATTTTTTTAATTTTAATTTTGTTTGAGGTCTTTAGTCTCGGTTTTTTTCTGGCCCTAATAATTATAACAATCTTATGTTCTTACAAAAATTTTATTTCCGCCCTGGCTGGTGTAGCTCAGTGGATTGAGCGCGGGCCTGCGAACCACACGATCACAGTTCGATTCCCAGTCAGGGCACATGCCTGGGTTGCAGGCCAGTTCCCAGCAGGGGACGCACAAAAGGCAACCATACACTGATGTTTCTCTCCCTCTCTCCCTCCCCCTTTCCCATCTAAAGATAAATAAATAAAATCTTTAAAAAAATTTTTATTTCCCTACAGTATTTGTTGTAATGGGATTTGACTTGAACTGTCAGCCAGGTGATTTTGGTGTATTTTTTGTAGGATTATTGAAAATAGCCGTCTGCACCCAGAACCATTTTCTTCTTTCTTTACCAATCATTTCACACCTACAGCAACCAACTGTGATGAGAAATTTTTTTGGGTTTTTTTTGTTTTTAAGGATTATACTCCATGTTCCTTTCCCTTTTTTTTTTTTTTTTTTAAGATTTTATTTATTTATCTTTAGAGGGGAAGGGAAGAAGGGAAGGAGAGAAGGAGAGAAATATCAATGTGTGGTTGCCTCTAGTGCATCCCCTGCTGGGAACTGGCCTGCAACCCAGGCATGTGCCCTGACTGGGAATCGAACTGAGATCCTTTGGTTCTCAGGCCCACGCTCAATCCACTGAGCTATACCAGCCAGGGCTGATGGGAAGTTTTGATAATCAGTTATATTTTAAGTGAAATAGAGGGTTTTTTTTAAGGAGGTTCTTAATTTCAACTATTCTACTTTTTTTTTATTGTTATTCAAATACAGTTTTCTGCCTTTTCCCCTGGCCCTGAAGTGGAGGTACTTGCTAGTGAGTTAGCAAGTAGCATTTTGAGGGGGAGGGGGTTTGCTTTTTGAGCTGATGGAAGTGGGGAAGGCAGAAACAAAAATCAGCACAGGGGAGGTGGAAGGCAGAGAGTATTACTCAGTCAGGAGTTCATTATTTTGTGTGTGGGTTTCCCATATAAATTGGCATTGTGGACAAAGAGTAAACAAAACTGCAGAGTGCTGGAAGGAGTTTCCAGAGAGGAGGGCAGGTTTCAGGAAGTGGAGAGCGCACACCAACCTGTAGGAGCAGCTGGTGTCCAGTCCGCGTCTCCACCTATGTTTCTGCCATGTTCTTAAAGCTTTGCGTGAATTTAGCCCTGACTCTGACTTGCTTGCCAATGTGTTGAGCCATGCGATTATTTTAAAATAGCAAGTACCACTGGTCACTTCCACGTTGAACATACCAAGATTGCTTGGCTCTTTCTGTCATTTGCGGCCCTGCCACTAACATTGTGGATTAGATATTGTATGTGCTCAAACGAAGGATTGCTTCACCGTGCAGAAAGCAGGCTCCCCCTTCCCGCCATGCCCTGCGTCGTGCTGTGTGGAGTGGCGTGCGGAGCTGATGGAGTGCTCCCAGTGGGGGCCTGCAGGTTTAAGAAAGTCGGTCTTGACCAAATCACTGGGGATATTTTCAGGTAACAGTGTTACAGCTGTCGAAGTTTGGCTGCTTTCACAATCCTGCAGTTACTTAGATCATTTTAGTGATGTTTCTCTAACACCGTATCCTGACAGTCCTAGTTAAAGACATTCTGATGGTGTAAAGGGTTTCCGCTCCTTGGTCTATCCGGGCAGGTGTGCAGATTCATTGAAGATGGAATAAAATAAGGCCTTGTCATTTCTTCGTGTGGTACCTCTGGGGTGCGTTTAAACTCTTTCATATGGTTTTGCTCAGTAGTTGTGAGGACTTACCGAAACTAGGGTCGGAAGCTAGTAAGTCCCTAACAGTGTCAGCATGCGTTAACGTATCGGAAGTCCCCCAGAGGTCCCTCCGGACCTCATGTCCTCCCTCTTCCTGTTCTAGGGCTTTACTCTTGCCCTGCTGGTTCCCTCAGCCCCTGTTCCTCTCTCTGAATTGGGCGTTACTGGGCTCCTGCCTAAATTTCCATTCACTTTGCCTACCCTCCTTTGATTCTTTCCTGCCTACAGTAATATTCTAGAAAGCTGAAGTCACAACTCGCTTCACTGCCCATACCAATCTGAACTGCAGACTCCTTCCCAAACACATCTTCGCTTCAGTTATAATTTCCGTGCGTTAAAGTGCACTATAGCAGTGTAGTTGGTATCATATTAACATGCATTTGCATATCGATGCCTTGCTTAACTATTTGATGCATGTGTATGTCTTTTAGTCCAAATTAAATTTTTCACTTAAGAGCTTTGGCCATCCCCGGCCAGGTGCTCAGTTGGTTAGGGCATCGATCCCAAGGATTAAACCAGGTGGCTGGTTCAATCCTTGGTCAGGGTACATACTAGAACCAGCCAGTGAATGCGTAGATAGGTGGAACAACAAACTGATGTATGTCTGTCTGTCTCTGTGTGTCTCCTTCTCCCCCTCCCTCTCTCTCCCCTTTCCTCTTTCTTTAAAATCAATCAATAAATTTTTTTTAAAAAGAGAGCAGTGGCCAGTCTGTCTCTTCTATTTTTCACCATAGCGTCTGTGTGCACAGCACCTAATAAATAATCCTTGGTGAGATGTCGTGACTTAAAATCGTACTGAAATGTTATGAATGCATTTGTGGTAGCTTACCTAGAAGAAAAATGCTGCTTGAATGCTTGCTTTCCTGGAGTTGATGCTGGATTAAAAAAAAACAAAACTTTATTTGGGAAAATAAACCAAATGACACTGACATGAGCAAAATTTTTAAAATTAAGATCCAAGTACCTTTAATTATAATGTGTGTTTTATTGAAAACACTTTAGAATGAGGGGCTTGGAAACTTAAGTTTTACTTGGACCATGATTGTATCATGTGTTATTTTGTGACTGGAAATGTGGTATTCTGAAGTTGTTACAGCTGAGTTTGCACTAGAAGCTTTTTATTATTCCACGTGAGCAGTTTTTGCTTGCACCACCCACACGGCAGCATCACTGCTGAAGTCGCGCTTGTGCGGTTCTTGTTCTCTGAGTGCAGTGGTCAGAGGCCAGTTGAACATGTGTTGAAACATCGAGGTTTGTTTGGAGGCTGGGTTCTTGGTTTGAGGGTTTTCTAGTTGTACGTAGAGAATGTTTGGTTAGCGGCATGATTTTGTTTGCTTCTCATTCTTCTGAAGCCCATTGCCTAGCACTCTTCTGCCTTGATTCTGCATGGTTTTTTTTTTTAAAAACTTGTCATTCTCACACAATTAGATGGGTGCTATTGTCAGTCTTTCGTTTTGTACCTTCTGTAGCAGATGACTAGTGTGAGCCTGAATCAGAGCGCATTCGCTGGAATCAGCAGTTAAGGAGAAAACAGTGAAATAAAAGTGTTAAAATGAAGTTTGGAGAAAGAGAAGTTACATTTCCTGATGATCAATATTACTTGCATAGTAATTACCAAGATTATTGACCTCTTTTATACTGTCTGGCAGTTTTTAGGTTGTGTCTTTCTCAACATCTCTTAACAGTATCCCAAGGATGATGGCAGATAACTAGAGTTATTGTCTTGATTTTTCCCCCCCACCAGATTTCGGCCTATTAAAGGAAGGCAAGAAGAACTCAAGGAAGTAATTGAACGTTTTAAGAAAGATGAGCACTTGGAGAAAGCTTTCAAATGTTTGACTTCAGGCGAATGGGCGCGGCACTGTTTTCTCCACAAGAACAAAATGCAGGAGAAATTATTCAAGGAACATGTAGGTTTATTAATAAGATTAATACTGTTTATCTGCTTGGATACGAGTGAAGGAAACTATAGCCTAAATTTTGGTGAACACTGAAACTTGAAATCAATTTTTTGGCTCTGACCAGCGTGGCTCAGTTGGTTGGGCATCACCCAGCAGGGCAAAAGGTCACCGGTTCAATTCCTGGTCAGGGCACATGCCTGGGTTGTGGGTTTGATCCCCTGTCGGGGCACATGTGAGAGGCACCTGGCTGATGTTCCTCACATCAGTGTTTCTCTCCCTCTTTCCCCTCCTCTCTCTAAATATAAATAAATACAGTTTTTGTGAAACTAATCTTATGAAGATCCAATAATATATAAGACCATTTGTATGACTATACAGTGAGAAAACTATATCATCTAGAAGTTCAGTTCTTTGTGAACTTTTAGAGTAACATAGCCAAGCTGTTAGGTACTCACATACGTGAAATTTTAAAATACCAACTAAGTTTGTTACTTGAGGATCTTAAATGTTTTTATGTTGTTGGTGGCAGTTTGCTTTTATAATTCCAAGAATGTGTAGCAGGATAAACAATATAAAATTAATGTCGAATGCTTTCTGTTTTAGGTGTTCATTTACTTGCGAATGTTTGCAACTGACAGCGGATTTGAAATACTGCCCTGTAACAGATACTCGTCAGAGCAAAATGGGGCCAAGATAGTAGCAACGAAAGAGTGGTAACTGTTACACTAGTATAAACTCATAAAGTTATTTTATTTAAATTCTCTCTTAAATTACTGTGGAAATGCTAAGAAAGTCATAGGCAGGGATGAAACCGGAGCTCACTGTGGGGGAGCCAGTGTAGGGCCAGTGCCCTCGCCCAGAGGCCACGGTCTGGTGACTGTTCCCATCCTCGTCTGTGGAATTAGAAGTCTGAGTTGAGCCAGATTCTCTCTCTAAGCCAAAGTGCTTCCCCCCCCCCGCCCAGTTAAGCCTGGGTGCCTGCTTAGTGACGAGACTAGAAAGGCTGTCAGGGGAGGCCAGGATGGGAAGCCTGGCTTCCAGAGTCAGTCCTTTACTGGCCTGGAGGAAAGGTTAGGTATGAACCCTTCCTTCATGATCCTAGGAAGTTGATGGATGGGAACTTGCTAGCACACTGCCTGCTTAAAAAGTACGCATGTGCGTCAGCGAAGTCCAAGTCCTACTGCTGAGCCCCCTGGGAGGAATAGCAGCCATACGTGAGAGAGAGAGAAATGTGATCGTATGTTCTTTCCTCAAATGCCTGTTCCCTACCTTTTCTCCCAAAAGAAATATGTCGGCCCTCTCATAGACCATCCTAATATATTTTATAGCAGATCCTAATATATTGTAGGGTCAGGTGCCTGAAAACGGAGTGGGTAAAGAGCATTACTACCGGGCTTGGAAGGGTGTGTACATGAGTGTACCTGTGTGTCTCCAGGCAACTTCAGGCCTGCTCATGGGCTCCCGGGGTCCCCTGTGGTGGTGATGGGTGTGGAGGTTTGAGATCTCAGATCCAGAGCTGCTCTATCTAGTACAGTAGCCGCCAGCCCCATGCAGCTCTTGAGCCCTTGCAATGCAGCGAATCTGAACGGAGCAGGGCTGTGAATGTGATGTGTGTGCCAGGCTTTCCTTCAGTTTCCGTTTTCAGTTCTTACACTGACTACCTGCTGAAACTGTGTTTGGGGTATAGTGGGTGGGAACGGGTTACTAGAAGTAATTTCATGTGTTTCTCTTTCACTTTCTCAAAGTGGCTGTTAGACAGTGGAGGACTCTGTGTTGGGCCCTGGTTACTTGTCTGTGGGGTGGCAGCCCCTCAGTTATGTGTCCTCATAGCTCTTCCCTGCTGTTGCACTCATCCGGGCCTCCTTCACCCGCTGCCAGCAGGGTGAATTCAGTGCAGCAGGGGTTTCGGTCCTTCTGCTTACAAACCACTGCACCGGGTGCTGCGGGGCGTTCAGAGACAGAGACAGGCTCCTGTCCTGGAGGACGGTCCAGCCTCGGGCAGGGGTGTCGGGGCTTCCTGGTGGGGGGGTCGAAATCTGCTAAGATACGCAGGGCTAGGTCTTCTCAATACTTGGTATTTATTGGTCAGGGTTATGTTATTAAAAGAAGCCTTATTATTTATAATTACTGGTAATTTTTAACATCACATATTTTAAATAGGAAACGAAATGACAAAATAGAATTACTGGTGGGTTGTATTGCCGAACTTTCAGAAATTGAGGAGAACATGCTACTCAGACACGGTGAAAACGACTTCAGTGTCATGTACTCCACGAGGAAGAACTGCGCGCAGCTCTGGCTCGGCCCCGCCGCCTTCATAAACCACGGTGAGCGCCTTTCTCGGGGTGTGGCGCTGGCGTGTCCGACAGAGGGAGGCCTTCGTCTTCCTCTAGAGGAGGGTTAGGAGTGGAATTTCCTCCCGCAAAGTTGTTAAATACTTCTGTAGTTCTAACTTGAGACCTAAACTTCTATCAACTTTGTAAACTTACATGGAAAGCTTATTTCAGATTTCTGGAATTGTTCGTGTTTCAGATCTTATCTACAGTTAATTGACTTTATCTTTTGGACATTTTTCAGATTGCAGACCTAACTGTAAGGTAAGCACAAAAATTTTATCTCAAATATTTAGTTTCTGCTTCTGGTGCGAGTTTCTTACATAGTTAATTTTATTTCAGTTTGTGTCAACTGGTCGAGATACAGCATGTGTGAAGGCTCTCAGAGATATTGAACCTGGGGAAGAAATTTCTTGTTACTATGGAGATGGGTTTTTTGGAGAAAACAATGAGTTCTGCGAGTGTTACACTTGTGAAAGGTATGTCATTCATTAAGATGTTCAGCTCTTTCATTCTTTTAACCACCTGATGGTCGTGGGCTTTAAATCCCATTATTTCATCACTTAAATGCAGGGGTAGTTATGTACATCAGAACGTTGCACCCAATCCTGCACGCATGAACAAATCAGAGGGTCCAGAACTTGTAGGTACACTGGCACCTGACCCTTTCACATCCTACTGTTACCAGTGGTTATTCCTACAAATCGATCAGAACTCAAACCTGTGTAAGGGGAGAGTGGGAAGTAAGTTACACACACGTGCGCACAGCCAGGATGGGGTTGTCCCAAAAATGGCAAGTGAAGTCCCACCGCTGACAGTCCTGTACAACCCTGAAGTAGTCTTGTGAGTTACCAAGGTGTGTGCTCTGGAATGTTTGTGTCGAGGCATATGCTCTTTGTAAGCTCCATCACTCAGTGGGGAACCTCTCTGTGTGACCCATCGAGACTCTGGCGTCCTTGTGGGACTCCCCCAGGTCTGCCTTAGCAGCACTGCTGCTCAGCACCTTGCTGGAGGAACCCCTGCCTACCTGAGCTCCCAGAGACAGCTTCACCAGCTCATCCGGGTGGAGCTGCAGGAAGGCTCCATCACAGCCTAGGGCACACTGTCGGCCGCGCTGCCCAGCAAACCTGGGCTTGTTCAGCCCCTGTCACACACCTTGCCCTGTCCTGGACACCACTGATCTCGACTCATTCAGTGCTCACAGCCGTCCTGTGAGAGGGCAGTAGCCATTGCCCCTTGCAGGGGCAGAAACTGAAGTACTGAGCCCAGTCAGCCTAACTTCAGAGCCCTTGTTCTTTTCACTTCATGTTGCTTTTGCAAATACGAGCAACAGTACTGGTTAGGGCCACTTCTCCCACTGAAAACACCCGGCCTGTAGTCCTAGATGGGTAGCATGGTGGGTTCCACAGAGGCCTCATTCTCTTCTTCCCAGGCAGCCAGAGGTTTCCCTATGTTGGCGTGGAGGATAAAACTTACCATTTTCTATATAAAAATGGTGTGAACATTGGTTGGATCTCAGACTAGTCCACAAAAATTAAATTCACTATAGTTGATCAGTGCTTTAAAATCACTTTACAGAGACAGCACAGTGTGGTAGAGTGAGTGCCCGAGTCGGCGTCCCGTGACTCTGCACTTCCTGAGCTCTGCAGTCTTGGGCAGCTTAGCTGCTTTTGTCCCTCAGTTACCTGTCTGCAATTCGAAGGCAACACAAGAAGTTACTCCATAGGTTTGCTGTGAGGATTCAATTAGTTATTTCATGTAAAGTATGTAGAATAGCACATAATTAATACTCAAAAGTAACTGTAAAATTGCATTGTGGTTTCTGGTCATTATTACAATAGAAACTCCAATAAGTCAGAGATTTGTATTTCTTTTATTTACTTCTATATTCCCCAGCATCCAGAATAATACCTGGCACATAGTAGGGGCTTGATAAATATTTGCTAAATGAATGATTGATGCTAATAAGGTTTTAGAGGCTGTTCTGAAAGTGTAACTATATACACGAGATTCCAAACCGGCCCTGAAGCAGCTCTTTTACTCATTCAGAGCTGCACGTGTCATCATGTTTCTTAGGCATGTTCATTCTCATTATCGAGCCTCGGTTTCTCACGGGTCATTTGGGGTCATCCCTCCTCCTTCACAGGCTGTGTGTGAGCAGTAGGGAGAAACGTGCAAGCCCTTCCCACGTGGAAAGGCCTCGTCCACAGAACAGTATGCACGCTGTCGTCACACCGGTGAGCAGTCTGATCTGAAGGTTGGCTGCAAATATCGTTCAGAGTCTGGTTCAGGGAACACCAGTTAGGTGAGAGGATGAGACTAGTCAAAGGAGCTCATTCGGTTATTCATCAGATACTAACTGAATAGCCACTTTCTGTTAGGCCTGCACGTGCGTGATAAACAAGACTAATAAGCACAGTGTCAGTCGTGAGGGTGGTGTATACACACACCCACACTCACACTGCACTGCGTGCCAGATGGCGAGAAGAGGCGTCCCACCGAGGGGCAGAGAGTGGGCAGTTTTACAGAGGCGCTGAAGCAGCAAGCGGAGTGGCCGGGGTGCGTGGGGGCCCGCACCCACGCTGCGTCATATACCCTCACGCCGCGGCGGTCGCAGCATGTCCCCAGTCAGCGCTGCAGGTTTCCCTCTGGGCCTTGGAGGGGTAAAATCCAGTGAGGGGCCAAATTATTGTAAAGCTTATGCAAAAGTATGGTAGGTAATAGCCAAGAAAAAATTTCTGAAGGGAGCTTTGCCTTAACAAGTATTAAAAGATGCTGTGAAACAATTGTAATCAAAACTTGATACTTACCGGCCAGAAATGGGCAAGTAGGTAAGAGGACATGAGGAGAGTCCTGAAACAGGCGGGCGTGAGGGTGCAGTAGCCTGTCCGCAGGTGCCGGGGGCTGGCTTTCGGCTGCAGCACTGATTGGTGCCTGCTGAGTCCCGCCTTGTTCAAGGGTCAGCTGTCGTTCATTATGTGTCTGGAAGAAAACAGCTAAATCCCCATCCTCACACCGTATAAAAATAAATTCCAGATGGATTAAGAGTTTAAATTTTGAAATACAATGCAAAACTATTAGAACAGTTTAGGAAAATATATGTCTAACATTGGGTTAGTAGTATTCTTTTGAAAGAAGACAAGAAACTGTAAATACTGAAATTTTGAATGGCTGAAAATAAAGTCAAGAACAAACAATAAACCGAAGTGGGAAACAGTACACACACGAAGAGTTAGTGTCGCACTAACAAAAACTGCAGTAAGCTCCTGGGGAAAGACAGACCGCGGTAGTAAAGAAAGGTAGGCAGAGTGCAGCACGGGAAATGACGACCAGAAATGAGGAAGTTGAAACAGTCAGGTGTCCGTGTTCACTGTCAGGGGGCAAAGTTTGAGGCCCGCGCCGCATCCTGCTGGTGAGAACGTGGAGAAACAGGTACGGTGTTGTCGGGGCCGTGAAGAGCTGTGACCTTTTGGGAAGGTAATCTGGCAGTATGCGTCAGAAGTAAGTGTACCATTTACTTGGCAGGCAGTCCCATATGGAAGAATCTGTCCTATGGAAATATGGGCAGTAGTTTATGGATTTGGTTTCAAGAGCAGTGTGGCAGCTGTGTTCACGGTGGCAAGTGGGAAAGATAGCCGGCAAGGTTCAGTGTCCACCACTTTTAAAACACGTTCTGTCCCAGTTAATTTGCCTGCGCTGTGTTGATGGTGGTAAAGCTGGTTGCTGAGTGAATGCATGTATTGTCGTGCTGATTCGGATCACTCAGAAAACACCGACAATGTAGATGGGTGTGCAGACTGGGGTGAGGAGGTGGAAGCTGAGGTGCCAGCAGGTGGGGAGCACTGGTCCCTCAGGGTTGTGGGGCTGCAGGGGGTTGGGAAGCACCATCAGTTTCCACCTCCCAGATGTTTATGTCCTGGGCGGTCTGGCTCGTTGCAGCAAGCCTGAGCACGCGTCTCTCTCCGGGGTTAGAAAGAAGTGAGGGTAGTAGAGAAGCAGGTGAATAGTAGAGTTTTACTTAAAAAAAAAAAAAAAAACCTCCTAATTTCCAGATAAAATAATTCCATTACAATCACTTATTTTGTGTTTAAGCATAATTTTAAGTGTGGCTCATCTTTCAGAAATGCTATGTGTTATGGTAAAAGGACATGGAATATCTGAAAATAATTTATTACTTTCTTTATCCACATCAAATGAAATGGCTTTGGGATTTGTGGGTTTATTCTCTGGGAGTGTTTTGGGATGGAGTTGAGTATAATTGATTGCCTGGCTTGGTGAGACTTTTCGGTGCACTTTTTGAATGAAAGAATTGAGGCAGTCCCACAGTAAGTTTTTTATTTTTACAAATGCATTAATAAAAATTCTAGGTGCTTTCTGTGAAGGCAAAGAAAGCAGAAAGCAAGAATTCTTACTTTACTTATCAAAAATAGTTTCCACTTTAGGGTTAGGTCTGTGCTTCCTAGCATTAAGAGTTAGGAGGGTGGGGAGAGAAAAAAGAACTCTTGTTGTCCCTTAGCAAAAAGTCACATCACACACTCATTGCTTGGGAGGAGGAAATCAGTCATGTGGGGTCTCACGCAGGGCAAGATTGCTTTCATACCAGAGGATATTCACAATTTGACCACAAGGTCAGAAGCTGTTACTGTATGGCTTTTCTTTTAACAAGCTAAGGCCAATAAGAGGCAAGCCACAGAAGGCAATTTTAATTTTAGCCCAACAGATTTCTCACTTCTTAAATGCAACAGGTAGTGCTTTTTTAAAAACCTCTTTCATGTATAATTTATTCTTTTGAATAGAGATGAGTAGAAATTTCCCTTTATACGCTGAATAAAGATTTGCAAAACCAGATTCATTTAGGAAGTTTAGGAACTCTCCTGTTAAGTATCCTCACTTCAGAAGAATTTATATAAATACCAATAATAGTAAAAGCAGGTTAGAAATTATTCTTATCCTGTAGTAAAAGCAAGTCTCTTAATGTCTTGTATACAGTAACATTTTATTAACTTGATTATGGTCATTTGTTCATTCAATAGCTTTAAAGGAATTACTTAACAGGCTGTTTTTGTTCCCAAAGTCAGATTTTCACTAAGATAGCCTAGCCTCTGATACAGCATTTCAGTGGGGGCTTGTTTGTGTTGAACATTAAGTTCTAACTAAATAATGACTTAATTTATGGAAATTGTCTGGTTTCGTTTTTTAATTTCTTAATTCTCAGTTTTTAGTAATGTAGTGTTAAACTGTGTAGAACAAAGCTGGACTGTAATTAACAGGTGGTTATTTGAGCCACAATTTAGACCACAATATATTTCTATATGTACAGAAATGGTAAATTTCACCAGCCAGTTTTGAAATCGAAGAACCAGTTATTTATTGTTACCTACACATAATTCTCCTGGGCCCAGTAGCTTCTCGTGGGAGATTAATAATTGATAGCAGCCGTCACAGCTTGCTGTAAATTTCATACCCTCTTTCAGTTCTTTGGGAGCCCTGGCCCTGGCAGACCCCAGGGGTGGCGGAGGGGCCTGGGGCCTGCAGCCCGTGGCCAGTAAGTGCACTGCTTGTGTGACGTGTGCTCTTTTCTCTTTCAGACGGGGAACTGGTGCTTTTAAATCCAGAGTGGGACTACCTGCGCCTGCTCCTGTTATCAATAGCAAATACGGACTCAGAGAAACAGACAAACGTTTAAATAGGCTTAAAAAGTTAGGGGACAGCAGCAAAAATTCAGACAGTCAGTCTGTCAGCTCTAACACTGATGCAGACACCACTCAGGAAAAAAACAATGCAAGTAAGTAAGGGACCTTTGATAAGCATATCTTCTTTTGTTTCTTTTTTTTTTAAGTGTTTCAACACAATTTGTTTCCTGAAGTGTGTGCTTCAATAGTTTTGATCTTTTAAATATTGAGAGACACCCTGGGTCTTCAGCAGCATCACAAGGTTCTAGAAATGATCTGCCCACAAAAGCGGTCTGTGTCCCACCTGCAGATTCAGTATGCTCCCCTAGACCAATTGCTCTGCTTTCCTTGAATACTTGGTAACTGGATTTTACATGTTTCGTCATGTGTTCCAGGGTCGTCATATGTATTACACATATCATATATGACATTATATGTGGCATGGCTATGTTTGTGTGTTATGCACACCTTGAGAGCAACATTCTCATGGTGTGTTAGCTTCACCACAATGAAGTGGCTCCGAGCAGATAGGACTGACGGACTCACACAGGCGCACACGTGTCCCCATGCCCAGCCCGCTGTTAGGACGGCTGAGGGACTTGGGGGGCTCGTAGCTTCTGGCTTCAAGGTTTACTTGCCTTTTTCAAAATGAACTGACCCAGTTCACCGCCAGTTACCAGATTCAGATTGTGATAACGGAGCATTTTAAATGTCCCTTCACTGTGACATATTAGCCGCTACCAAAAAGTAGCAGGGTGAGAAGGAGAAAGAAGCAAGCTTTAAGATACCAGTTGGGGGTGTGGGGGAGAAGACCTAATGGAACTGGAAAAAGAATGAAGAATACAGAGAAAAGAAAAAGAAAGCCTAAACAAAGAAGGAAAACACGTTGTCTTGGAGCTCGGAAGGCCTGGGACCATTCCGAACGCTGCTGTTTCCATCTGGGTGACACCGATGTCCTCTGGTCCCACCGAAGTAGAGGCTCTTCAGTCTGACTTATCTCTGACGGGGATGGAGTTTGAAAGTTTTGACTTGGTGATCCTCAAAGTCTGCCTGTTTTGGCACTAAATGTTCATAGGTACTTCTTGGCACCTAAATATCCTCTGAGATCTGGTTATTTTAGGCTCTTCTCCCTCTCCACGTTTTCAGCCCAGCACTGGGTGCTGCCCTCCCTCCCTCGCAGAAACTCCCGAAGGAAAGGGAAAGTGTCTCCCGTGATGGCGAAGGTCAATGCTGAGAATTCCCAAATCCACCTGCTGCTGGGAGTCAGGACAGACGTAACCTCTGCAGTGTAACAGTAACCCTGTGCATCCAGTCCCCTTTATAATGTCCAGAGTGAACAAGACGAGCGAGAGCAGTTAGTCCGTCGCTCGCTGTGGACCGTTGGTTCTGATAATAAACACAGCACAATCAATGCTTGTTTTCTGAGTCTGGTTCCTGGGTGACACTGGAGAGTTGTGAAACCTGTGTGTGGGGACTGCCACAGCGCTGTCCCATTGAGTGGCTCTGTGGCATTCCGGGGGGTGTTTTGTGTTTTTATGCATTAACTGCGTTTCCGATGTAAAGATTCTGAATTTTCAACACCACAGTTTAAAAGATTAGAATACAAATATTTTTCAGAAGGTGTTGAGTGTGCTATACTATGTGAGCATCAGGGAATATTTGCCAATGAACCAAATACTTAAAAAAATTTTTTTTAACTTTCAGAGAGAAGGGAGGGGAGAGGGAGAAACATCAGTGTGTAAGAGAGACAGCGATCTATTCCCTTTTGCACACTCCCAGCTGTGGACTTGGCCCACAACCCAGGCTTGTCTGGGATTTAGCAGCTGACAGGAACTGCTTTCCTTGAGCAGTGTGTATATTCTTTTTAAAGAAACATTTCTGCCTAGTGAAAAGAAAAATTATTTCTTCCATGCAGATCCATTTTCATAAGGTACATGAGAGCCACAACCTGTTTGCTTTAGCATCCAGAGAGAGGAGACTAGAAGAAATCCATTTTTACAAATAAACTTCACAAGCCTGAATTATGCCATTATTGAAAGATTCTGCTTTTTCAGGTCTCTTGTGCCTCGATGTCTGGGCCACCCCCTGTAGTCAGTGCCCTGGTACAGGATGTGTGTCACTGCAAATGCCACAAGCTGGTACAGGACCCAGAAGACTTGGCCAGCGCGTTAAGTCTCTGAACTGAGGAGAGCCTGTCCCAGAGGCGGGGGCTGTTCCCTGCTCCTCAGTCTCGCCTGTCGTAGGTAGCACTCCCCAGCCTGAACGCAGGGGTCTGCTTCAGGCCCCGGCCCGAGGCCTGCTCCTGGCAGCCACCGTCAGTCTGTGTTGGCCACGGAAGGTGGGAGCTGCTGGCTCAAGTTCTGAGGTGTCAGCTGTACGTGGTCCTTGGATTAGCTCGGTTCATGCCGACAGTGTGCGTACCTGGGGCTTTTCCGTCCAGATGCAGCCCTGGCACTCAGGAAGCCTCCATGTCATTTTTCTGCTCTTGCATCTGGCTGTAATTCCTGACACCCACGCAGAGCTGCCTTATGATTTTGAAGACACCCAGAAATGACCGTGATGGCCATGCTGTGCCTCCTTTACCTATATGAGTTGGGACTGGCGTACCTTAGAAGCAGTGCCTAAGAACTTGGGATCTTGTCCTACCTGGCGTGGCTTAGTGGATTGTGCACTGGCCTGTGAACCAAGGGGTCATTGATTGGGTTCCCAGTCAGGGCACATGCCTGGGCCACAGGCCGGGTCGAGAGGCAACCCACACATAGATATTTCTCTCCCTCCCCCTCTCCCAAATAAATAAATAAATAAATAAATAAATAAATAAAATCTTAAAAAAAAAAAAAACTAACTTAAGATCTTGAACTACAGAGCTCAGTGCAAATCCCATCTCTGCCCCTCACCAGATGGACAGTCTTAGGCACGTGAGATCAATGTGAGCATGGTTCTCGCACAGCACGTGCTATGTGATCATTGCAAAGAATGTAGCTCCACCTAAAATCACAGTTTCAGTTTATGCATTTGGGGCTCGTCCTGGACATGGACAGCAGGGAAGAGTCACAGGTGGTGTGTCAGTGCAGGCACCAGGGTGGCCACAGTCAGAGTCCTTAAGTCTCTTCTTTTCCACAGATTTTATTAATGTTTGGTGGGGGGGGAGACATTGATGTGCGAGAGAAACGTCCCTCAGTTGCCTTTGTGTGCCCCAAACCGGGGACCAAATCCACAAGCCAGGCCTGTGCCCCAAGAAGAAGTCCAACCAGTGACCACCTGCTTTGCAGGGTGATGCCCAACCCACTGAGCCGCACCGGTCAGGGCAGAGTCCTTAGTCTCTCATCTCATCTTGGTCACTTTGCTCTCACTTCTGCCCAGCTTGCATATGTCTTTTTTTTTTAACCTTTGACTTAATATACCTTTTAGCTGGACTTCTGAAGAGAGAATGCTTTTTAGGCCAAACGAGAACACACTGTAACATAAACCTAAGTGGAGTCTCTGTTGAAACCACCTGTAGCCTCAAATGCTCTACTTGGTGCTGTTGTGGACACACGCCCAGGTGCTTTGTGAGTGATTCATTGCCATCAGCTAACAGTGATTCCCCGGGAAAGGGGTTCTGGGGGGAGTCCGAACCCAGAATCCCCGTAAAACAAGACACTTGCAGTGGGTTAAAATAGGTGCCCAAGGAAGGGGACGCTCAGGCTTTGTGGGGCACACAGCCAGGGCTTCCTGTCCTACACAGAGAGTCCTGACGGGCTCCCTGGGAGAGGTGTTTTCCTGAGTTGAATCTTAAAAGAGGTGAAGCATTGACCATGTGAAGCATATTCAAAGGAGAGGGAGTTTTATTTTTTTTTAAAAAAACAGCCCTGCCTGGTGTGGCTAGTGGATTGAGTGCAGGCCTGCGAACCAAAGGGTCGCCAGTTCGATTTCCAGTCAGGGCACAGTGCCTGGGTTGCAGGCCACATCTCCAGTAGGGAGTATGTGAGAGGCAACGATGCATTGATCTTTCTCCCTCCCTTCCCGTCACTAAAAATAATAATAATTAAAAAATAAATATATTAGGGCTGTGGCTAGTGTAGATTAAGTGCCGGCCTCCAAACCAAAAGGTTGCCAGTTCGATTCCCAATCAGGTCCATGCCTGGGTTGTAGGCCAGGTCTCCAGTTCAGGGTGTGTGAGGAGCAACCGATGAATGTTTTTCCCGCACATCAGTGTTTCTCTTACTCCTTTTCTCTGCCTCTAAAAATAAGTAAATAAAATATTGTAAAAATTATTTAAACAACAAGTTGGGGGTGAGTGTAGGACTTGTGTAGATGAAATTGGTCGCAGCTGGACCGGGAGGTGGGAAGAAGGGGTGTGAGCATGACCCAGAGTTGTGGACCTGAGTCTCAGGGCAGTGGGTTATCGTAAGGTTGAAAGTGCAGAGGTGACATGGTGTACGTACTAGGAAGGTCATTTTGGCTGCATGGTGGGGAGTGGGCTGTTGGGAAGCAGGCAGGAGGGTGTGGCGGCGGTGGAGAGGTGGACTCCACAGGACCTGGTGGTCAACAGGAGAGGCAGGTAGGGAAGGCAGGCATCCGGAATGCCCCCCTCCCCCCACCCCCGGGGCCTGCTTGGGCAGCCGGGCGGGTTGCGGAGCTGCTAACCCAAAGGCGGAAGTGTAGGAGGAGAAGCAGCCATGAGACTCGGTGGGGAGTTCAAGTTGAGTGTGTTTGCTGAGGGGCTTATCGAACAGCCTTGCAGGGAGGGCCAGATGCCAGTGGGTGTCTGGTGATAGGGATTGATAATGCAGGAGAGAGTCAGGCCGGAGAGAGTGGTTCGGGAACTTCCAGCAGATGGGTGGTAATGGCCGCTGGGGTGGGCGCCTGTCACCGGGAGACCGCTTTCCCAGAGGCCTGAGGAGTGCCGTCTCAGGGCAGTCACAGGGAGAGTGCTCTTGGGGACAGCCAAGGGAAGACGGTTTTCCTGGAAGATGAATGGTGAGCAGTTTCACATCCTGCAAAGCAAGGTAAGGGCCAAAGGTGTTCGCTGGATTTTCTGACCTGCAGGTCGTCAGAGACTGGCCGAGGCCCCCCTGCAGGGCACAGGCTGGGTCCAGACGAGGCCTGTAGCTGCGGAGAGTGCAGGGCGTATGTGTGGTTATGATGTGCAGCTGACGGCGGGTGCAGAGCGGGAGGGGTGGGGAAAGGGAGAGATCCGGTTGAGAACCGCTGGCCTGGTCCTGGAGTGGCCCTTGAAGAGCCGTAGGCCGAACAGAGGACCACCACAGCTACCCCGAGAAGACGGAGCGCACAACACTGGTGGGCGCAGACCTCCGTAAGCATCTCTCCTTGGTCGGCCTCGAAGGAAGCCCTGGAGGCAGAAAGAAATTGTTTAGCCAAAGAACTCCCAGAATACCCTTACATTTTAAAAATAATTTCATGCAAATTCTGTGTCCAGCTTACATCAGCGTTCCAGTGGAGTGGTGTCCAAACCTGACTACTGTTCAAAAGATAGTGGCCTGCTTGGGAACAGCCCACACAGACAGACAGTGAGTCTCAGGCCTGGGAATCCTGCTGGTTTGGGTACCTCGGCGCCATTTAAGAGCCAGTCTCGAGTATAGAGCCCTCTGTTCTCGATGGCGTGGTCCTTTGGGAAAGCTTGTTACTCATTCTTGCTCTTCTGAATAAGAACGAATGGTAGCTGATTGCCTAGCCATGCAGAAGAAACAGCGGTTGCTTGGCAACCCTCAGGCATGGGGTAAGCAGCAGTCTGTCGGGCAGGGTGCTGGGCTTGCCCACATGCGTCGTTTCCTTCTCCGTCGTTTCTGGTGGGAGGCGGTGGTTATTAGATCCTCTCAGCTTCTGCAGTGAATGAGTGGAAGGGGAGTGTGGGTGGGTGGGGGTTCCCAGGGTTTCCAGGTGGGGAATGCGGGGAGCTGACTGAGTGGACTCAGGTGAAGCACAGTGTGTGCAGGTCCAAATGTACGTGCAGAGAAAACGGCAGCTCAGAGACTCACTTGGGGAGCAGCTCGAACTTGAGCCATGTATCAGCCTTGTGTAAAGCCTTCAGCTGTCACCCTAGTTCCCAGGCAGAGGTTTCCAGTAGGATTATCGCCACCTTTCTGCGTCCTTGTCCAGAGGAAGGAAGTCGGAGGCCCCCCATCTGAGGGTAATTCTGGCAGCTTCTTCCCTCTCAGCACAGTTGCAGGCAGCAGGCAGTCGCAGGAGAGGCAGGGCCAAGTGAGTCCTGCTGGACTGAGGGAGGAACTTAGTGCAGGTTTTTGGGGCGATTGTCTTGGGAATACAGTGTGTGGTTCTTAGGGTCTGTTTTTGTTTGAAGCCATTGGAATAGAATTCATCTCTTCAAGCCCATTTGCAGTGTGTTTCTGTTCTAGATTACTAGTCAGATAATATACTTACTTTGAGTTAATGAGTAATGGGATTTTAGAAACCTATTTTAAATGATTATTCTAAGAACTCGGGAAAGGGGGGAAAAAAGCCGTGATTTTTCCTTAACTTCAAATCTTTTATGTGATAAAATAATAAATTAGGAATAGAAATGCTTATTTTGGACCGGTATAATGCTAGATTTAGGACAAGTGTAGAGTGAAAACTAGTTACTTGTACTAAGCTCTTTAAATACCCAATTCAAAAGTGAATAGATGCTCTGTAAATTAGAGGCAGAGATTAGAAGGAGACCAGTGTGGGGATGCTCACGTTTAGGCAGTAACTGAACTGGGTCTTTCTGCCATGTGTTTGTACGACCTGAGGCTCACATCCCTGAGAATCTGGTTTGGGGCATTGTTTTGTGTTACCAAGGCTGTCTTTCATCTTTTTTTTTTTTTTTAACTTTGCAGCTTCTAGCCGAAAATCTTCAGTTGGTGTGAAAAAGACCAGCAAGAGCAGAACGTTAACGAGGCAGTCTATGTCAAGAATTCCAGCTGCTTCCAACTCTACCTCATCTAAGCTAACTCACATAAATAATTCCAGGGTACCAAAGAAACTGAAAAAGCCTGCAAAGCCTTTACTATCAAAGGTAAAATTAAGAAATCATTGCAAACGGCTGGAACAGAAGAGTACTTCAAGAAAACTCGAGATGGGAAACTTAGTCCTTAAGGAGCCTAAAGTTGTCCTCTATAAAAATTTGCCCCTTAAGAAAGATAAGGAGCCAGAGGGACCAGTACAAGCCGCAGTGGCTAGTGGGTGCTTGACTAGACACGCCGCAAGAGAGCACAAACAGAACTCCGGGCGCGGGGCCCCTTCACCCGGGGAGGGCGCTCCCAGCACATACACAACCAGGCGGTCGGTGAGGACGAGAGTGAACTTGAAGGAGACCTCTGACATCAAGCTGGAACCAAATGCATTGGACGGCTATGAAAACGGTTTGACTGAGCCTTGCCTAGACGGTGGCGAGCAGCCAGCTCTGGCGACACAGGAAGAGGAACTAGCTCATGACACTGCACAAAGGGGGGAAGCGAAGTGTCCTAAGAGTGACAACAGCATTGCAAAAAAGAAGTCGAGACCAGGAAAACTTGTGAAACAGTTGGCAAAAGCAGAGGAATCCCATCCTGTGCGTGATCCTCCTGGAAAAGCCGGCGTGGTGCCTGATGGGATGGGGTCCCTCTCCGACCAGGGCCAGCACAGCAGCACAGAGGGTGTGCCCGGCAGCTACTTGGGCTGGGCCCCTTCACCTCTGGATGGTGCGGCGGTGACGTCAGATAGCTTCAAAACGAAAGATGGCTTCAGAACTGCAAAAAGTAAAAAGAAGAGGCGGATCACAAGGTATGACGCACAGTTGATCCTGGAAAATAACTCTGGGATCCCCAAATTGACTCTTCGAAGGCGTCACGATAGCAGCAGCAAGACAAATGACCCAGAGAATGATGGGATGAATTCTTCCAAGATAAGCATCAAGTTAAGTAAAGACCATGAAAACGATAATAATCTCTATGTAGCAAAGCTTAATAACGGATTTAACTCAGGGTCAGGTAGTAGTTCTACAAAATTAAAAATCCAGCTAAAGCGGGATGAGGAGAGCCGGGGGTCATGTACAGAGGGGCTTCATGAAAACGGGGTGTGCTGCAGTGACCCCCTGTCCCTCCTGGAGTCTCGCATGGAAGTGGATGACTACAGTCAGTACGAGGAGGAGAGCACGGACGGCCCCTCCTCCTCGGAGGGGGACGAGGAGGAGGACGACTATGAGGACGACTTCGAGGACGACTTCGTTCCGCTTCCGCCAGCCAAGCGGTTGCGGCTGATAGTCGGGAAAGACTCTATAGATATTGACATTTCTTCCCGGAGGAGGGAAGATCAGTCTTTGAGGCTTAATGCATAAGCCCTGGGTCTCACTTTGACCCAGGGTAACTACTTTAGCAAAATAAAAGATTCCAGTCAGTTATTCCTCAACTGAAACATTTTAGCGGCAGCACTTCTCGCGTTTCTTCACCTGTCGGCATAATACGTAGAAAGTGTACAGCGTGCTGACTCTCTGGAAGTCTGATTCGTGCACATTTTTATTGTACTTTTTAAGTAGCCTCCTTACGTGCAATTCTGAGTTAGAGGTAAAGCCCCGTTGTCGAATAAAGGCTCACGCAGACCTGCGCAGTGACAGCAGCTTTCCACACAGGACGCTGGAGACAGTAATGTGGCTGTACAATTTTTTAACTTCAAGAGCATTAACTAGCTCTTTAATATATGACTAAACAGTAATTTAAAACAAATCATAGTAGCAGCATATTAAGGTTTTCTAGTATATGCTAATATCACCAGCAATGATCTTTGGCTTTTTGATTTATTTGCTAGCTGTTGCCCCCTGGAGTGTCGTCAGTTCCACACTGTGTGCCGGCCCAGGTGCACTGTGTGTGGCCCGGGTCAAGGTCAGGTTGGTTTCTTTACAAAGAGTTCAGTTCCACGTGTGGCGGCCAACGTCTCCACGGCATTGTATGTACAAGGTAGCAGTGTGCGGGATGAGTTCGATGCGGCGTATTTATTGCTTGTCATGTAAGTTAAAGACCTTGTATTTAACACTTTTCAATACTTTTAGATAAAATTGTTCTTTGCAAGAATGATTGGTGCTTATTTTTTCAAAAATTTGCTGTGAACAATGTGATGACAACAAGCAACATTGGTCTAATGAACTACAGCTCTTCATTTGGGTCTTCAAGTTTCTGTTGCACTTGTAAAATGCTACAAGGAATATTAAAAAACTCTATTCACTTTAACTTATAATAGTTTATGAAATAAAAACATGAGTCACAGCTTTTGTTCTGTGGTAACCTATAAAAATGTTTGTCTTTGAAATTCAATGTAAAGAACTGAAACAATGTATATGTTGTAAATATTTGTGTGTTGTGAGAAATTTTTGTCATAAGAAATTAAAAGAACTTACCAGGAAGGTTTTTAAGTTTAGAAATATCCATGCCAATAAAATAGGAAATTATAAATATATAGTTTTAAGCACTGCATCAGTGGGAGTTCTTGGCTTATGTTAGTTTATGTATGAAAAATATCAAAGAGTTTTTGACTATATTATCAGTTAAACAAAAAGAAGAGTCAGATTTAATTTGTTTTTGAAGCACTTTGAGAAGAGAAATTAATTTTAAGTAACTTAATGAGCAAAATTTTACTACTTTATGTTCAGTACCAGTCTTTCCTTTTTCTGGGTTATTTTACAAGTCATCAGACACAGAACTGGGGACTGAACCTGTGGCAGGCGTTGGCGCCAGCCGGCCCATCTCTGGAAAGTGTGTGCATGCGCTCTCTGAAGCACAGTGTTCCTCGGTGAGACCGAGTTGGGGCCTGCGTGTCCCGTCTGGCTGGCGGCCCGGGGGTCACCGTGCTCAGGGGGGTGGCAGGTCACGCGAAGTCCCGTGGAGAAAACCCCTGTGCTCACTGTTGTCCTGATTCCCCCCGGTGTCCAGATTCCGAGACGTTTAAGCTCCTTGACGCTATTGCCAATAGGTTCCAAGTAGAAATTAATAACATCCATATAAGTTGTTTAAATCGAGGATTTTTTCCTCCTTCCCTTCCTCAAGGAGTCGCTTCTGTAGTCTTGTCCCACCCTCGTGTGTCACGGTGCAGTCGGACCCCTCGGGTGCTTGTGTGGCAGCGCGTCGTGGCACGTGGCTTGGCTCCACCCGAGTCCTCGCCCTGGGAAGCAGGGCGGCCCCCCGGGGCCCGCCCCCACTCGGCGCACTCGGCAGACCACGAGCCGTTCTCGCTGTCCCCTGCGCAGAAGTGTGAGACGCACGCCACCAAGGAGGGCTGGCAGAGGGTCACCTCTTCGATTCCGACCTTAGTTTGGGGACTTTAGTAGCAGGTCAGAGACCAGATCTTGAATTGATTCTTGGAATACCAATAATAGCAATTTCGGGAAATTCGGTCTTAAGGAAAAAGTAATAAAATAATTGTATTTCTCACTTTTCTCCATTTTTTTAAGCTTCATTTTAGTAACTTATTGATGGTGTTAGTTTTAACTTGATTGCAGCCTTGCCCTTTGAGCCGACCTTCCCGTGCGTCCGAGCAGTGCCGCCCCCCTTGGGCACCTGCCGGGAGCTGCTTCCGGGGGTTGGAGCCGGGGCCTTGGAGCTGCCCCGGCTCTGCCTCGGCACGGCCTGGGAGAGGCCGGCGAAACTTTCATTCAGTAAAACTCTGAGCTCGAGCTTATGCAATGATCGGTAAAGACTTTGGCATTGTAAGAATTAGGAAATGATCATAGATATATGTAAAGTATTCAATTTTCAATCATTTTTCAAACTACTGTTTTAAATTGTTTTGCTGAGTTGTAATACTTTTGAGATACAATGTATTCCTTGTACTGAAAGAATGAAAAAAAAAGGACTTTTTCAGCATTTGAGGTAAGTTCTTTAACGTTTCATTAAAAACATTTTTTACAAATATTTTGTACATGCACTTGCAGTATTGAGGTTAATCATTTTAATAAATTCGGAAATTAAAACAGTCTGGCCAGTGTTCACTGTCTCTGAGAAGAGAAGTTTGAAGCGGATTTTCTCCCACAAGTTTTTCGTTCGAATTGGAAATCGTAGCATCAGCGTTTCTAAAGCTTCTTCATCTTTGAGTGTGGATCTCTCTTTCTGTCACTCGTCCAAGAGAAAAGGGGGTCAGCACTCTCTGTCCTCCCGGGGCTGCTTTTAAAGGTCACTGGCTCTTTAGCCCTTGGGCCCATTAAGAATTTTGCAATCCAATTAACGGTTCCTGATGACTTGGTGTTTTTCTCCTTGAATTGGACAGAGCTGGCGTGGGTCCTTTCTCCCAGTTACTGCAGCCTAAGCCTCATTGAGAGAGGACATGACGGGCTCACTGGCTTAGGAGTCAGTCTGTCCAGCACCTGGAAGTGGGGGTGAGCCGTGAGTACCCGAGGCGGTGAGGGTGCGTGGCCTGGACCAGACGATCATACGGGCTTTGCTGAAATGCACCCAAACTTGGGTTCCCCATGTGGGAAAAAGGCTCACCCGCAGCGTTCCCGTTAAATACTCAGGCCTCTCACTCAGTCTCAGGTTTCCCCTCTGCTGCTTTCCCTGACCAGCTCGTGTGTCCAGTGCCGCCCGTAGCCCCTGCGTGACTTCTGTTTCTCAGGTGCCATGTTTGCTGCAGGACCCAGTGACACTTGGAGCAGAGCGCAACAAGCTGCTGGCCTGGGGCACTTTTTTAGCCCGCGGGTTAGGGTAAGCGCCACCCTAGCCCGCAAGGGTTGGCGGTGGGTAGGTCTCCAGCCTTCTCCCTCCCCAGTAGAGCCTGGGCCTTGTGTCTGCCCAGCAGCCCAGGGGAAAGGCGGAGTTTTATTCTTCAGGAAGTGTCGGGAGTGTGGATGGGCAGGGTTGGGAAGGGGTCACCCACCCAGGCTGCCTCCGCCCCTTTCATGCAGGTTGGCTACTCCTCCCTAGACGTTGAAGTTTATGGTCACGGGCACAGGGGAGAGCTGCCTACCCTGAGGACAGGAGACGGACTGCAGTCTCAGAGAGAGGGCTGTGGTAACTTTTTATTGTTTAAAGTCTGTGCCTGTCAGGTTGCAGGAGACAGCGACTTCTGTCTTTGGGGTGTGACCCGCCCTGTTGAGTCTGCTCTGCTAAGGTGAGACGGAGCTCTCGGGGTGTGCCCGGGCCCACCGGGCACTGGCAGGGGGTCTGCAGGGGTTCCTAGTCCCAGGTCTGAGCAGGCAGCACCCAGAACAGTGGGGTCCAGGGAGGCTGCTGCATTGCCCGAGTGTGTGTGGGGGGCGCACACTGTGTGAGGGGCTGGGCAGGGGGCAAGTTTTGAGCACTTTCCTCGGATGTGAGCGAAGCCGTGGGAACATGGAATGGCCTAGGGAAGGAGGGCCGGCAGGCCCTGCCGACAGGCATGGACGCAGGTGCCATGGCGTCATGGGTGGTCCTGACCCCGGAGAACACGGGAAGCCTGGGGCAGCACCGTCTGGAGGAGCCCGAGCAGCAGAGGGTGGGAAGAGGGGGAGTTGCTGTGGGAGAGCCAGGATGACAGCCAGCAGGAGGGGAGGTGCAGTGAAGGAGGGCATCCCTTCTGTCAGGAGGACCAGCAGGTCTGACCGGAGGGGAAGCTTCCATGGAGGCTGAGTTCCGGGAAGGGAAGTGAAGGCGTCTTTCAGAGTCTGGGGGAGGAGGGGTGGTCTTAGGAGGCCAGCTCTGCCGTCCTTGCTAACGAGGGGGGGGGGGCAGCTGGGGGGCCCGGGGCGGGGGCAGCCAGTCCCAGCAGGAGGGTGTTTCTGCTCTGCAAAGGAGGAGTCTGGGTCACCCCAGAGTGAGGAGATGAGGAGCCCCCAGACCTGAAGAGAGTGAAGAAGATTTGAAATCCAGAAAGGGAAAGCAAGCCGAGTAGAAACCTAGTATAATTCACACACGAATGTTCACCCACGGTGCCCAGGCTGACGGGAGCTGTCCCTGCACAGGCCAGGCGGCAGGCCCTCTCTGCTCAGTGGGCCCCGGCGGAGTGCAGGGCTGGAGTGTGTATGGAGGACGTGGGCTTCAACGAAGAGGGCCCTGGAGTGGGCGCGCAGGTTAGGGAAGAGACTGGAGTCTGCAGGGGGTGGGGGTGAGGGGCAGAGTGTCCTGGTTCAGATGGACCACGGTGGTTGGAGCTGAGGGCACCTGGCAGACACCCTTCCTCATGTGTCCTGGGAACCAAGCAGCCATGCCCATAGGCAGACACACAGGAGCCCTCCTGGGGAAGGGGGTGGGACACCCTTTGGAGCTGCCCTCGGGGAAGGGAGTAAAAGCTCCGTCAGCCTGAGGCCACACAGCTTGTGAGGAGCGGTAGAAACAAATGTCAAACCCCGCCCCAGCACCTGTTGCAAGGCCCTGCCCTCAAGGGCCGCAGAGCCCAGGGTCACTGGCCAGCCAGTGAGTCAGTCACCAGGCCTCACCTTCCTCAGGCTGAGTCTCCGTTTCCTTGGGTGACAGGTCGCAATCACTGCTTTTCGCCCTCACTGGTGTGCAGTTACGTGGGGCCAGGGAACTTGGTGCAAAGGTTACGGTGCCGATAAGCGGGCGCCCCACCCCCCGCCGGTCAAATATGGCGAGCGCAGGGGGTGGACTTGCCCTGATCTGCAAAACCGAGTCGGGCACGAGGAAGCCTTGAGACGCCCAAAGTCCAAGGTCTCCTGCCTGGCAGGCGCCCGGACGCGCTGTTTCAACAGGGACCTTTCGCAAACCGAACCTGACCAGGGGCTTTCTTGTGTTGTCCCTAAAATACGACTGCCTTCACCTTTGAGTCTGTCGTGGGTCAGGTTTTGGAAGCTGTACCGACACCAAGGGGAAGAAGTGTGGTATTCACAGGAAGCCGATCCGTTACACTTCGGAAGCACACCTGTGAAGTGTGAAGCCAGTCACACTTCCTGCTGTCAGCGTGGGTGTGATTCCAGGACATCCCCACTGCACTGCTAGTGTGACCGCCAGGAACAGGCAGGAGGTAACTGCCCCCCTGACCCCCACTGCCTGGAGCAGGTTGGGGGAGTCCCTTTTCAGCGTCACCCTTTCCTAAACCAAACACCGTTTATTTCCTCCTCTTTCCATCCAGTGACCTTTCTCCTCCTCCCGGGGGTGGGGTAAGAGGGTGAGGGGAGGACTGAGCCTTGCCAGCTTGCACGTGGGCCAGAGCTGACCCAGGGAAGGGCCCCGTCCAGGGTCATGCCTGGCCATGGACACCTGGCCTGATTGCCCGCCCCAGGCTGCCTGGGGCTGGCACGAGCCACCCACTCGGGGTTGGAGCAGGACTTTTGGTCGTGGCCCTTTCCTAGCTGTGAGCATGGACCACACCCTGCCTCTCTCCAGTCTCAGTTCTCTCCCCTGTGAAACGGGTCAGTACCAGCACTTACCACTAGGATTGCTGAGGATGAAGTGAGAGGGCCAGCTGAGACCACTTTTGCAGCCTGGCACCTGAGTCCAGAGTTGGTGTCGGCTGGCGTCAGTCTGCGCCCTTCAACAGTCTGCGTGGCACCCTGACCCCCACGGGGCTCTTCTCTGCCTCTGACCCCTGCCCTCTCAGCTGACACCTGCTCAGACGGCTCTCATCGGTCACAACCTCCTCCGCCCCAGCTTTGAAATGCCGGGCTGCTGGAGCCCGCCTCCTCCATCGATGTGGACACAGACTGGTTCTGGCTTCTTCCTCTGGCTGATGCCTCCTCTGCCACCAGAGAACACTGCTGCAGCCCCATTCCTCTCCCGTCCACGGGGGTCTTTCTGGATTCATCTCCTGTGACAGCCTTTCCTACGTAAGGACCCAGTAGGTGCCGGACACTCACAGGGCCCAGGGGCCACACGTGCCCCCCCCGCCCTCCCCTCACTAATAGCAGACACTCAAACAGCAGGGAGGCCTGGGAAACGCTGGGCCACTCACAGCGAGAAGCCTGGTCCTCACCCGCATCACTGAGAATAAAATAAAGCAGCAGAACGATGCCCAGGCAGCGTCTGGCACACCGTGAGTGGTCAGTCACCATTCGTCACTTTGATTTCCTGGAGTCTAATCGCTAAGACTGTGTTTTTCTCTGGTTTCACCCAGTCAGACCCAGCTGGAGCCGGCCCTACTGGGACCCCTTCCCGGACAGTGACTCGGCCAGGTATCCCAGGAGGCCAGAGGAGAGGAGACCTCTCATCATACCGAGAGGAAAACTGGCCCCAGCAAGGAATAGCGCCTTGCCTGGGGTCACACAGACAGCAGGGGACACAGGTGGGCAGGACTTGAACCCAGGCATCCTGGCAGCCTTTGCTCCCCAGTAGGCAGGGCTGCTCTGTGCCCTGAGCCAGGGCCTGGCCAGCCAGGCAGCTGCTGTTGATGGTAATAGCGGTGATAGCTGGTGTTTGTTTAGCTGGAGCCACTCATCAAAGGGGTTAATGTTCAACTCTCTCCAGCCCCTGGGGCTGTGTGCAGGGGGAGGGTGAGACCTGCCCCTCTCCCCCATTCCTGAGGCCCACAGCCTGCCTTCCCTGGGCGGTGGCGGCCTCTCCCTCTCCGGGGTCTGTGGGAATGCTGAGGGCTGGCAGGGGACTCCTCCTCACTGCGGACTCCACCGCACTGGGCTGGGCCAGGTGCTGGGGACCCTGGGAGCACCTGCTGGGTTGTGGTTTGAAGTCTGGGGGTTGGGCCTGGTCAGTGGCCCTGAGCTCACTTGGACTGGGAAGGGGCTCAGCTTGCCTGTCTTTCTGTGGGACCTTCTCTGTGCCCACCCCGGACTGAGCAGATCCCCTCAACCGGGCTTCTCTCAGCTCAGCCCCAACTCCTCCCACCCCATGCGGGTCCCTGGGCTGAGAAATGGCCTTCCTCCTGGAGAGGGACGCCCCGGGGGCACTCAGCCTCCCTCCTCTCTGGGTCGGCGGGCAGGGTGCAGTTCACCTGGAAAAGCCAAAAACCTTGGGCTGCCAGTGGCCAAGGAAGTCCCGGGCCAGCCTCTCTTCCTCCCTCCCAGCGACGCTGGGAGCAAAGGGGCTGTGCCCAGTTTGTGCCCGTGGGCCACGGCATCCCACCCAGCAGAGAAAGGGCTGGAAGCAGGACTGGAAGCTTCCTGTGAGGCCTGTGGGCTGAGCCTGGGGTCCGGGACGGGGATGGCTGAGGTCCAAGGGGGCCTTGGGCGGGGGGCAGCGGCCTCTCTCCCGCCCGCCTGCCGTGCCACAGCCTCTATGCCCAGGGAGCACCGCGGACTGGCAGCAGCTCGCGGTCCTGCAGCCCGCCCCCTGGCCCACCTCCGGAGGTCCCCGTCCTGCCCCAACACCCCCACAAGCACAGTGCTCAGCCTCATGCAGCTGCAAGGAACCTTCCAGATCCACCTCTGGTCAGCCAAGACACATGGAGAGGGAAACTGAGGCACCGGGTGTGGTGGGCAGGGACAGAGTGGGTCTAACCTTTCCTCATGGGTGAGAAGGGAAAGTGTGTTTTGAAGAGTGAGCGGAACTGGACGCCCTGGGCTGTCCCTGAGACAAGGCTTTGGAGGGGGCGAGGCTGTGGGGTGCCCAGTGGGGGCTGAGGGCTCTGGGGGCAGCTGTGCCCACCTGCCAGCCTGCCTGAGCTGAAAGGCCACCACATTGAAAGGCTGCCCCCTCTGGGACTCAGTGCCCTGTGGACTGGGCACAGTGGGGACGAAGTGAGGTGGCCAGGCTAGCCAGGGCATGATCGGCCCCTCCCCGCCCCGTGCCAGGTGGCATTCCAGGCACTGGGTCAGATAAAAGGGCTGCGGCCAGGGTGGCAGTGTGCTGTCACCACACAGCTTCCAAAGGCCTGTCCAAGGTGGGTCGACCGTACGCGGGCTGGTGTGGCTCGTGGACTGAGCGCCAGCCTGTGAACCCAAAGGTCACTGGTTTGGTTCCTGGTCAGACTACATGCCTGGGCCGCAGGCCAGGTCCCAGCTGCGGGTGTACAACCGATCAATGGATGTCTCCCTCTCTTTATCCCTCCCTTCCCCACTTTCTAAAAATAAATAAGATCTTTAAAACAAAAATGGGTTGACCTTGGACTCCGGCCAACTGGATCCTTTCTGCCACAGCTGTGTGTCAGTGGGGCCACTGACAGTCCCTCAGTCCCTCGCCTCTCCTCTGGACCCAAGCCATGCTCCGTGACCCACACCGGGCACCGGGGGACTGCGCCTCCTGGGGACTCCTGGTCCCTAGCCAGGGGCAGAGACAGACTTGCCTGGGGGTCTGATGAGGACAGCCTGGGGACGAGGGACACAGGACGCATCCTGGGAGGGTGGCAAGCAGGGCAGAGGCTTCCCAGAGAATGCGTCCTTTGAGCTGGGTTTGGGGGGGGGGGGACTGGAGGTGGGGAAGGGCGTCCCCACTGTCTCAGGAGCACGGGTGCCACCACCCTGGCACTGTACCCAGTTTTGCACCGACAGCCTCTTCCCTGGGCTGCGCGAGCTGAGGCCCCAGATGTGGGCCTTGCCCCGACTCCACCTCGTTTCACAGCCAGGGCAGCGCAGCCTGACAGCGTGTCAAGGGCAGTTCAAAAGGACAATAAAGAGAGACAGGCCGTGGCAGACCTCGGTTTGAGGCCTGGGGTCTCAACCACTTGCTGGCTGCCACAGTTGCCTTCCTGAGCCTCAGTTTCTTCACCAAATGGGTGCTCGTGGGGCCTTGGTGAGGATCGGCTTTGCATAAGCCCCGACCTGTGGGTGGGAGGCGGTGCCCCACCCCCGCTGCCACAGAGGCTGGTCCGTTCGTGTGGGGGGAGACTGAACACTCCCCTCCCGCAAGGGAACGTCTCCTTCCTCTGGGGCGGGTCCCTCCAGCATGCCTCTGCTGCCACCTCCAGAGGCCCCCAGCCCCTGTGGCCCAGGAGGTGACAGAAGGACAGCCACTGTCAGCAGGGCGGGGACCAGAGACAGGCTTGGGGCCCAGCTGTGGTCATTCATGGTGTCCACCCCCAGAGGCCAGTGCCCTTCTTTGGAAGGGGCCACTTCTCTGAGCTCAGGCCATGTGGCTCTCGGTGGACCGGCCTCCCCAGCCACCCCAGCCTGACTTCAGGGCTGACGCATGTCCCCGGGCACTATGGCCAGTCCAGGGACAAGCAGGGGACCAAGTAGGTCAATGAAATGCAGCTTTGGGCCCCTGAGCCCAGGAAGGCTCTCCACCCGGGTTGGTATGAGCCTGTTGCCTGCCTTCCTGCCACCCCGGAGTGAGGCCTCTACGGGGGGAGGCGGCACTGGACCAGCCTTTATACCCCCAGGTGCATTAGCCCACAGCCGGGAGCACCGTCCAGGCCTTTGACGCGAGCTACTGCTGGGGTTGGGAGACCAGCGGTCAGGCCCGAGGCCAGCCTGGTCGCCGACCTGCTGTGTGACCCAAAGCCAGGCTTTGGGTCTGGTTCCAAGCTTCTGTCTAGAGCACGCCCTGCCCCCTGCCTTGTGAAGTGCACGGGCTGGCAAGGCCCTGCCCAGGCCACGGGCAACAGGCCTGGGCCTTGGCCACCTGCTGCTCTACTTGGCAGGAGCTCCAGGAGAGACTGGGGCAGGCTGGCAGCCACCCCCCTTCACCAGCTGCACCGTCCCGGGGCACCCTGACTCGCACCAGGCTCACTGCGTGTGGTGAAACCCGAGGAAAGAGGAACAGCCAGAGACACCAAGGAGCTGGAGGTCTGTGGCTCCTGACTTCAAATCCACACCCTGCCCTGTCCCTGCTGTGCGATTTGGGGCACATGAAGTCCCCTCCTTGAGCCCCACTTTCCTCATCTGCTGAACAGGAATAATAATAACAACTAATTGTCAGCTGTCACCCAAGTGCAGACGCTGGGCTTAAATGTTCTGTGTGTTGTCTGGATTTCCCCCATATCCCGTGAGGTGGCCTCACCTCTGTGTTCCAAATGGGGACACTGAAGAAAACGAGACTCAGAATCACGGGCCCACAGAACCTGCAGAGCTGGGTTTTGGTCCTCGGTTTCTCTGTTCTAAAGTCAGTGCCCCCGACTACTTACCAGGTCCTATCTTGGGCAAAGTTCAGCCAGGAAAACAGGATTTCAAGCCGAGAGGTTGAACCCAGACATGTAGGGGCGGGCGAAACCATGGAAGAGCTGGGGGAGCGAAGGGCAGGCAGCCGCCACTGGGCTTGGGAAATCGGGGGGCATGGGAACTGCAGAATCTGTAGCAGAATCTGTACGCCGCGCCCTCAAGTTGCGCTTTGGGTGGGGGCTGTTGGCAATGGCGCTGCTGGGCACAGTTCACACGTCTGTCGTGGACGTAACACACATTTCCATCCGTTTCATACCCAGGAGTGCAGTTCCAGCTTCCTCCACACTTCACTATGAAACATGTCAAACCTACAGGAGACCAGAAGCATTGGTTAGTGAATCCCATGCACACACCCCACACACACCCCTCCCCCCCGCCGGGAAGCCATGCTCCACCATGACTGCCTTGCGAATTCTCTACACACCCGCCCATTCCTCTACCCACCCCTTCATCTATCTACTTTTGCTGGTGCAAAAGCATGCTTTTAAGGGGGAAAGAAAGCGAGACACAAAATTATCCAAAGGGAAGGACCCAGAGAGATTGGGAGCCAGTGCAGCCGACCCCAGGTCCATGTGAGCTCTGCCCGGGAACATGTTTTATCCTTCTCTTTAGAATTTCCCAACTTCTCTGGTCAATTATTTTGATCAAGATAAAAAATCTGTTTTAGCCCTGGCTGGTGTAGCTCAGTGGATTGAGCGCGGGCCTGCAAACCAGACAATCGAGGTTCGATTCTCAGTCAGGGAACATACCGGGTTGCAGGCCGGTTCCCTGCAGGCCAGTTCCCAGCAGGGTACGCACGAAAGGCAACCATACATTGATGTTTCTCTCCCTCTCTCCTTCCCTTCCCCTCTACAGATAAATAAATAAAATCTTTAAAAAAATCTGTTTTAAATTTTAAAAAAGGAGCTTTACCTTTTAAAAATTATATTTTATTGATTATGCTGTTACAGTTGTCCTAATTTTTCCCCCTTTGCTCCCCGCACCCAGCACCCCCCACTCCCTCAGGCTATCCCCCCACCATTGCTCATGTCCGTGGATCATGTGTATAAGTTCTTTGGCCACTCCATTTCCTCTACTGTACTTTACATCCCCATGGCTGTTCTGTAAGCACCTATTGGTGCTTCTTAGTCTCCTCCCCTCTTCACCCACTCTCTCCCACCCCCTCCCATCTGGCAACTGCTGTGGACCGTGTGTTGTGGCTGCGATGAACAAATGCACGTGGACTGCAGAGTCCTGTGGAGAAAAGGGACAGCACAGCCGCTCTCTCAGTGAGAGAGGGCCCCGACCTCCACTTGGACAGGCTTTTGTTGCTCTTCTGGGCACATTACAGCGAGGATGGTCCTCATTTACTAGGCACAGGTTCACTTTAGGTCGTTATCTTTTACAGATAACAAAGGAAAGAATGTTGGCAACTACTTCAAAGAGAAGGATGTTGCAGATCAAGGGGAAAGGTGGTTGAACTGGTTACATTCCATACTTGGGAGGTTTAGCATAGATTTTAAGAAGTTACTTTAATGATATGCAGTAAACATTTGCTGCCCCAATTTAGGGTAAGGAAGTTCTAGCAAAAAGCAAGTCTCAAAGCAGTCTAGGTACAATGCAGGCCTGGTTCCCCACGGGAGAACCGATCCGTGGGCTGGGTTCCTGTGTGGTCACTCGCTCCCCGCTGGTTTTCTGAATCAGGGGCTGGGCTACATTTGCCACGCCATGCGAATAGGTTCCCTGTAGGCAACCATCAAAACACTCTCTGTATCCAATATTCTGTCTCATTCTTCTTGTTTGCTTAGTTTTTTAGACTCAATTGTTGATGGATACGTATTTTGTTTGCCATTTTATTGTCCCTGCTTTCCATGACTATTTCTCGCAGACTCTTTCTAGCCTACAAAGTTTCTTTTGAGAAATCAGCTGACACTCTTCTGGGAACTCCTCTGTAGGTAACTAACTTCTCTTCTCTTGCTGTTTTGAAGATTCTCTCCTCTTTAACCTTTGGCATTTTCATTATGATGTGTCTTGGGGCCTGTTTGCATCCGTCTTTTTTTTTTTAATTTTTTTTAATTGATTATGCTGTTACAGTTGTTCTATCCCCCCTTTATTCCCCTCCACCCTACCCCTAATCCCCACCATTACCCCCCTTTAGTTTATGACCATGTGTCTCAAGTCCTTTAGATTCTATATTTCCCATGCTATTCTTGCCCCCCCCATCTATTTTCTATCTACTGTCTATGCTACTTATTTTCTGTACCTTCTCCCCCCTTCTCCTCCTCCCACTCCCCTGTTGCTAAACCTCCTTGAGATCTTCATTTCTATGTTTCCACTCCTGATCTAGCTGTCCTTTTAGTTTGCTTTCGTTTTAGGTGTGGTTGTTAATAACTGTGAGTTTTCTCACAGAAAAAACTTCTTTTTCTTAGATAAGGACCTTTAACATTTCATATAATAAGGGCTTGGTGATGATGAACTCCTTGAATTTGATCTTATCTGAGAAGCACTTTATCTGTCCTTCCATTTTAAATGAAAGTTTTGCTGGATAGAGCAATCTTGGTTGTAGGTCTTTAGATTTCATGACTTGGAATACCTCTTTCCAGCCCCTTCTTGCCTGTAAGGTCTCTTTTGAGAAATCCGCTGACAGTCTGATGGGGCACTCCTTTGTAGGTGACTGTCCCCTTAGCTCTTGCTGCTTCTAGGATTCTCTCCTTCATTTTAATCTTGGCTAATGTAATTACGATGTGCCTTGGTGTATTCCTTCTTGGGTCCAACTTCTTTGGTACTCTCTGAGCTTCCTGGATTTCCTGGCAGTCTATTTCCTTTGCCAGATTGGGGAAATTCTCCTTTATTATTTGTTCAAATAAGTTTTCCACTGGTGGCTGTGCCTTTCCCCCTTCTGGTACCCCTATAATTCAGATGTTGGAGCGTTTAAAGATGTCCTGGAGGTTCCTAAGACTCTCCTCATTTCTTTGAATTCTTGCTTCTTGA